CTAAACAACTGTGCTACTGCAGGCGCATTGCCAGATGAGATACTGCTGGCCCATATATCCACCCTCCCTAACCCTGGCTAACCCCCCACCCAGTGTAAAAATTTCAGGCCCATCTCCCTGCTAAACAGAGACGCCAAAATCTATGCTAAACTCATCAGCAATCGGCTGGCCCCTCTCCTCCACAAACTGGTACACAACGACCAGTCGGGGTTCATAAAAGGCCGTCAGGGCTCTGACAATACCAGGAAAATTCTGAACATGTTGTCCATGCTTGACACTGGCGGTTCGAAGGGCCTCTTCCTCGCACTTGACGCGGAGAAGGCCTTCGACCGACTAAACTGGGAGTACATGACTAAAACTCTGCACAAATTTAACTTCCCTGTATCTGCAATTAAAAGCATAATGGCACTATACCACAAACCAGCAGCCAAGGTCTCTCATGGAGGCTTCCTGTCCAACCCTTTCTGCATTACAAATGGTACCCGACAGGGATGCCCCCTTTCCCCCATTTTGTACATATTGGCCCTGGAACCCCTAGCATGTAAAATCAGATCACACCCTGACATACAGGGGATCCCTATATGAGACAAGATGTACAGCCTAGCCCTCTTTGCTGATGACATCTTCGTGGCATTAACAGACCCCACCTGCTCCCTACCCCATATGCTGGAACTCATACGACAATTCGGAAGAGTCTCCTACTATAAACTGAATCAAGATAAAACCCAAGCCCTACCCATCAACCTGCCGAAAACCCTAGAAGACTCCCTCCGCACCACATACAAATTCGATTGGAGGACCACCTCCATTACATATTTAGGGATAAAAGTGGCACCCTCCACTTCGGCCACGCTAACATTAAATTACACACCACTGCTGACGCTCTGCAAAAAAGAAATGCACAAATGGAAACATACAATGATTTCCTGGCTGGGGAGGATTAATGCCTACAAGATGATGATCCTGCCCCGTATCCTTTATGTCTTTAGGATGCTTCCCCTCATATGTTGGAAGGCTAACATTACAAAAACTATGCAGTGCATTTATTTCGGGGGAGCAAGAAACCTAGGGTGTCTATGACACTCCTTCAGACCGCCACCCGCTCTGGTGGTGTTGGCCTCCCAAATCTCAAACAGTACTATAGGGCAGCTATTCTGTCCTCAGGTGTCCTCCTACGTGCACCACCTAACACGACCCAATTGGTGAACATGGAAAGAGCACAATTCCGTAATCAAGCCCTACTCGAATATCTCTGGACACCCAAGCATCTAAGATTGAAACGACAGGATCTCTTTCCAACCACCCAGCTCACGATAGCAGTGTGGGATGAATTTATGGGAACCATAGGTTACAACAACTCCTTCCACCCTAAATTGCCCATTTCGACCCTCAGAGCAACCGTACCAGACATACCACTCCAAGACTGGCACAAAGCAGGGATCAAACACATATCCCAACTGATGACTGAAGGGAAAATAACACCCTTTCCAACACTACAGGCACATTGGCAACTCCCAAGCCAAGCCATCTTTTCCTACCTACAGATTAAAAGTGTACTACAAGAACACACGACAACCTCACACAACTCAAAAGGCCCACCACCAGGTTACCTCACAGTTGCTCATTGACAGATGTTGGTCCTCACCTAACAAACCTAAAACACTCACACTGTGTTACAAAACATGGCAAGAACTCACGCCAACAAAACCACATCCGCACAAAGCCCAATGGGAAAAGGACTGTGACATAGCCCTATCAGACACAGAGTGGCTCCACGTACTAAACGGGTTGTCCAAATGGACAAAGTGCTTCTCACACATAGAAGCCCACAGGAAACTCATGTACCGGTGGTACATGACCCCACAAAGACTTCACCAGCTATTTCCCACGACGAGCCCGCTGTGCTGGAGATGCAAATCAGACCCGGGCACACTACTACACCTGTAGTGGTCCTGTAGAGACATTAAACCTCTCTGGACTACAACAAGGTCGATCTTAGATACACTAGACATCCCACAATTTGAACTGACGGCATCCATTTGCCTACTGCTACTGCTCCCTGCAGGCCTAAACCCAGGGCAAAAACAAATCATAACGCTAATCTTACTGGCATCTACACTGCCCTTCTTTGCCACAGATGACGGATAAAGTAGAGCAATTTCATATATATGAAAGAATGGCAATTACATCCGCAAAAAAAAAAAAAAAAAAATACAATTTGAGGCTACTTGGGGTAAATGCGAAAAAGAGTTTGGACGGACAAAAGAAAGGGCACAAACAATGTCAAACACTGCCAAGAGCACTGACTAGGAACATAACCCGGATTATCCTTTCCCCCACCATAATACTGACCCCAAGCCAGGACACCAGTCAAACGACCACAGGTATTACTCACGCACCTCTCCCCTTCTCTACCCCTCCCCCCCACACCCGCCCATAGTCTCCCCCCCTTCGTCACCTTTGGCTCCCCTCCCAGGTTCTCGGCTCCCCACCAGACTCATGCCACCCAGAACCTTGAGAAGAAGGGAGAAGCTATAAGACAACTAATGCTCCCTCACGCCACTGACAACCCATAGTGCAGGTGATGAACTGAATGTCTCACACGAATGCTATCTCATGAACGTTAATGCCACAATGTTTAACACGTATTTGTATTATGATGTCGCATAACCGTTAATGTCACAATGAAACAAATATCCCACGCATGCCTGTAATACAATGTTACGTAACCATTAATGTCACATGGAGAGTGACACTTGTCTAACTAACCCTCCTATCTTCTTTTCTGTATCCCGAACCACTTTGACTAAAACAATAAAACATAAATTTGAAAAAAAAAAAATCATTAAAAACCCACTTCTTCATAAAAGCGTATCAATTAAACTCTTAATAGCTCCCGACTGATTCCTCTCTTGCAACTGTCATTAGTCTAATACTATCCTTATCTTTTGTGTCACTTTACCCCACTCCCTCTAACATGTAAGTTCATTGAGCAGGGCCCTCAACCCCTCTGTTCCTGTGTGTCCAACTTGTCTGGTTACAACTACATGTTTGCTCGTCCACCCACTGTAAAGTGCGCGGAATTTGTTGGCGCTATATAAACAATTAACATAATAATAATCATATCCCCTCTGAGGTGCCGTGTTTCCAAACTAAAGAGATTAAAAATGTTTTTAACCTTTCTTCATAACTAAAATGCTCCATTCCTTTATCAATTTTGTAAAAATTTACTTATTGCCCTATAACTTTCCAAAAAAAGCTAAGAACATGTTAACATTGGATATGTTTTAACTCAGGACAAAGTTTAGAAACTATTTAGCATTTTTTTTTTGGGCGGTTGTAGATGCATAACAGAGTTTGGGGGTCAAAGTTAGAAAAAGTGTGTTTTTAAAAAAAATATTTTCATCATATTTTATATTATATGATGAAAAAAATTGTATTTTTAGAAAGACCATACAATGGCAATAAAAACGGTATATAATGTGTGTGGATATAGTAAATGAGTAAGAGAAGTGTAAAAACAGCCCTAATCCATAACGGTAAGAAAATTGAAAACGGTCTGGTCACTAAGAGGTTAAAGAGACATTAGTCACCAGAACAACCACAGCTTAATGTAGTTGTTTTGGTGAGTATAGTATGTCCCTGCATGCATTTTCATGTATACACTGCCTTTTCAGAGAAATAGCCCCTAAGGACACTAAGGTCCATAGTGACCCCTAAGGTCTCCAGCACTGACATCCAGCGACTTCTCTGCATGAAGACGCAGAACTTTCCCCAGAGAAATGCATTGATTCAATGCATCTCTAGAAGGATATGCTGATTGTTCTGTCCAGCACGCACAATTGCCTCCCAAAGCTTTCGTGTGAGAAAGCATTGGATTGGCTGAGATTGTCAACTCTGCCAAGGAGGCGGAGCCAGCACCAGCAGACCTGTACAATGCAGGAAAAAAGGTAACATTTAACCCTATTAAAGAGGGGCAAGGGGGGAGCTGGCCATCTATATATTGTTTGTTTGTTTTTTTGTATTTTATTGTAGCACATAGTAAGCCATACAAACTATAAAAGGCATATCATACTACATTTTGTGTGCATGCAAGGAAAACATTTTGAACAGCGACTTTTGACATGTGAGATACCGTATACAACGAATTGAGGCTGTTATGTGCCTAAGTACTTTCAGATAAACAATGCACTTTTTAATACAAGTAGCTATACTCTAAAGCAGTCAGCTTTCGGTGAGGGGGTGGAAGGAGAAGGTTAAGGTTAAGTTTAAGTAGGTGAGTGAGAGCAAGCATGGAAACCATTAGATGGTAAGAACACATAATATTTAAGTGGGTTGTGGTGGACTAGAGACACAGTCCAATAGTAAACTGAGCGTCCAAGGGTTGAGTGGATGGAATGTCTCTGTGCCAAGACGGGTCTCAAGTGCCAACCAGGTTCAGCTCCACTACTGTGGATCTAGCTTTCGGGTAGAAGGGTTGAACGTTACTCACGTCCCACATCTGAGTCGTTGGTTGGGAGTTCGCACCTGGAGCATATGTTTGCAGGGTCTCTGGTGAAGGCAGCCCCAGTGCCTTGAAGAATTTTCCCACATCCGACTGCTGCTGTAGCTGGATTCTCTTCCTGTCGTGAAGCACTGTGATTTTCCGGCCTGGACCCCAGCGGTATGCCACCTCATGATTTCTTAAGTGCTGGGTGACTGGATGCAATGATTGCCACCAGACCATGGTGGACCTAGTCAGGTCGTTAAAGAAGGTGAGGTTGGCTCCTTCAAAGTGGTACGAAGGTGTGTCTCGGACAGCTGCTTGTACCAGTGCAGTACCTGCGCAGCGATTGGAAACTTATTAGCAGGTCCCTGGGAACCCTGTCCGGGGCTTTAGCTGGTTTTGGGATCCTGAAGTAAGTGTCCAGCGAGATTGCTTTAGCTTTGGCTGGTGTTAGTATGCTGCTTAGCAGGCGACGGAGGTAGTGGGGGGGGGGGGTTCGGATTCTGTATCCTCCTCAGGGACACTGAATCTTGAGATTGCGTTGTCGTTTGGAGTCTTCAAGTGCTGCTATTCTGCCCTCCATGAGAAGATTGGTTAGTTTGAGTGCATCCAGCTCGGACTGCTGAGCATCCTGCCGGCATTGCACATTGTCGCCAGGGTCTTCCAGCAATTGCAGTCTAGCTGTGATTACCCCCAGGTCCTTCCGAACCAATGCTATGTCCGCAGCAAATAGGGTTTTCATTTCCCTTAGTAGGTTTTGAATGTCAGCTTTGCTCGCAGGCGTTTGTTCCAGGCTGGGGGTTGTTCTTGCAAGTCGCCCCTGAGGTGGGTGCTGAGGGTCAAGGTTAGCCCTTGGTGTACCTTGCATGTTGAGGTGTGAGACGTCGTCTGTTGCACTTTCTTCCAAAGCACTGTCGGAGTCCTCCCTCACAGGCGCCATCTTGGTAGGCCGCGATTGTGGAGTCACTCTGAGCAGTGTACCGATGTCCTGGGAGGAGGAGGCCATATCTATTCTCCTTAGTTTAGTCTTCTTCCCCATAATGTCTGGATGTCTTTTGGGTGCTTATCTGGCAGTTTAACCCGTTATATGTCAGGTACAGATCAGTGTTCTTGCAGTAGCTCTGTGCATGTGCGCCTTACTCGGTCGCTGGCTAGCTCCGACCCCCTATATAGTGGTTTTTAACACTACAGGGTCAGGAATACATTTTTGTGTCCCTTTAAACATAATGCAGCTGAAGCACTAATCACGGAGCTGTCTTACCAACTAAACATTAAGGGAGCACTATAGGGTCAGGAACACAAACATGTATTCCTGACCCTATGGTGTTAAAACCACTATCTAGACCCCTTGGCCTCCCTAAAGATAGTACAATCTTACTTGTATTCACGTCTAAAGCTGCTGCCTCTGCTTGTGAACTTCCTCTGACATCATCAGAAGTGGTGGCCTGATCCAATCACAATGCATGCCCATAGGATTGGCTGAGACTGACAAGGAGGCAGATCAGGGGCAGAGCCAGTACAATTCAAACACAGCCCTGGCCAATCCGCATCTCCTCATAGAGATGACTTGAATTAAGAAATCTCTATGAGGAAAGTTCAGTGTCTGCATACAGAGGGAGAAGATAATGAATGTTTGGATGCATTTTAGGCAGCCATGACCCAGGAAGGATCTCTGACTGCCATCTGAGTAGTGGCCAGTGAAGTTATCACTGTAATGTAAACACTGCATTTTCTCTAAAAAGACAGTGTTTACAGCAAAAAGCCTGAAGGTAATGATTCTATTCACTAGAACAAATTCAATAGGCTGTAGTTGTTCTGGTGACTATAGTGTCCCTTTAAAAAAGAAAAAATCTGTTCCCATCCTGCATCTAAGTACTAACCAAGGCCAGACAAGGTGTGTTAAATGTAGGTTTTTTGCGCCCTGACCCTTTAATAAAAAAATTTAAATTCCAAAAAGAAGTCAGACTACTACCCAGATTCTATTGTTCATTTAAAATTAGGGTTATTCCTGTAAATTCTAGTGTTTATTCGGTTATCACTACAATACAGCATTTAAAAAAAATAAAAACCTTCAAGTGTTCCAGATGCATCTACGGAGACTGAGAATAACTGCCCGTGTTGTTAAAGCCATTGTTTAAAATCCCTTGTTAAATAATGATGTTGGTGAATTTTGTCATGTGTATCCATAGATACTTATGATGAAACTAAATATATCAACAATAAATGATGAGAACACAACCTCCTTTCTGTGTCCGCAGCGAGATCTCACAGATGGAGGACATTGCATTTGTTCCTAGACTAAGCTGGGTGACTATCAGTATTTAGTATTTTTGTTTAGGCTTGAGAGCCACCATGTTTTCCTGGTTACCTATCACTATGTATACTGATGGGGGCAGCAAATGAAGTGCTATCCTGTAAGACCATAACACAGTATCCACACACAGCAATGATGGATATTGAAGCATGACTAGACAGAGACGTATACATCATTTCCCCTAACCTCATTCAGAAGGATTCAAAATTAACATGTTTTGGGCCAAGGTTTGTGTGATCATAGGAGAAGAGGTGAATTTAGAATGACAATGTGTAGTGTTCTAGAGTGACACTGTAAATGGTTTAATATTAAGTTGTATTGGGATTTGAAATGTATGTTACAATTTATGAAGGTGTTGCTAAGCTACTACCCAAAAAATTGTAGGATTTAAAATGGGTGTCAATGCACATTGAAAGAATCCATGTTTGATAAATATCTCAAATATGCACTATATATCCTATAAGTAACTGCCAATTGGCCCACAATGCAATATGTTTTGCCTATTCTTTTAAACAAATTGCTCGTTAATTTCTGCAAGGGATTAAAAGCCAATTTTCTGAAAGAAAGTACAATGCTTTCCTAGGAAGGTAACTGATTTTTGCAGCTAATTTGGTTTCTACGAATTTGGACAGAAACAGTGAATCTTTAATGACATTAATGGGTAGCTTCCTTTACCTCACTCATACGCATCATATTTGCCATCAACAGCTGAAATGAATCTACAGTAGACACCTGAATAAGTAGCAGATCAGATATTGTCCCAGTGAAACTATACATTTTATTTTTATTGTGCATGTTTACTTGTGTTAAGCCAAGTCTAACAAACAATTGGTAAGCATTACCCCCTCCCCCCCTGCCCAAACCCAACAATCCCCTGGATGGCTTTTTACTCAGAAAGTGACAGTCAACCTTGGTGCTAACTAAACAATGTCAGGTGAACAGACAATAGATTTGCACATCTGATGCCAAGGCAATCAACTTTAAAGAAGCATCGAAGGTAGGGATTTTGGTCTAAATATGAAGGTCTACTGTCAGTTCACCACCACACATTGTTTAGGAAATAGCTCTTATCCGTCAGTTGGTTCTACAAAGGAAAGGCAAAAAAAAAACTACGGTAATCAGAAATGTCCTTAACATGAATTCAGGTTTCTGGTGATAACCTTACATTCTAAAAATGAACATGGCTAAAATAGACAAAATTCAAATGGAAAAAGCTTGTCTCTCATACAATCATACTAATTTAACGTTGTTAAAACTTACAGAATATAGGCCAAAGAGTTACATATCCAGATTTTATTTATTTCAACATTCCTTTTTCCCTATAGCAGTAGGATTTAGTACAGTATTGTCATGGCCAAGAACTGTACAAAAACAAAAACTTGTACGTAAGATTACCCTGATCTAGGTAACGCTTGGTCAAATTCTAGAAATGTTTTGAGTGTTAATAGAATACTATCTGGCTTGTTATCAAACAAATACAGTTTATCCAGACAAACAGGAGTATCATATCTGCTCTAAATATAAAATCGATCACAGTCACATCTAATACATACCTTTCTGCAGTTCCACCGCATGACGTAACATAACTCATCTTAATTGAGAACATTCGGCTCCAGGAATTATTTAAGTCACCCATTGAGAGCACATTACGTTAATGACTTAAATAGGCCTGGATCGTGATTTTGTCAGTTTCCATCCGTGAACAAATGTAAAAATGGTATTTGTAAACTTGGAAGGGCTCTAAAAGATCCATACACAAATATGGTTGATACTGTGCATTCCTCCTCAAAAAACAAAACAAAACTGAGAACTGGGGCATAAGCAAAACGTTTTAAAAGGAAGCTTTATCGAATTAGAACAAGCAGCATTGTCAATATTAACGTTGCTGAATTTTTTATTAAAATCTGAAAGATTAATTTAGATTCTTGTCTATGACCTTTTTTTTTTTTTTTTTAAATATTGGGGGTACTTGTGTGCATGGATCAGTTATTGCAGGTTCTTGGTTTGTATAAGACTTAATAAATGTGGCAGAGAGGATTTGACTAGTACCACCAAATTCACATTAATTAAACCACCAGGACATTGTGCCACATTTACATTAATTAAACCACCAGGATATTGTGCCACATTTACATTAAATCACCAGGACATTGTGCAATTTCCTATGATTCTAAAAAAAAAAAAAAAAAAGAATAAAATATAGTGCAATATGTTCAGCAAATAGTTATTTGCTCACTTTAAAAATAATGCAACATTGGGATGTAATATTATTGTTTCAAAAAACAGATTCTGCTTCTTATAGTTAGGGTAAACCACTGAAATTGCAAGGATTAAAATATATATTAAACTCTATGATAAGCAATTCATCAAAAACTTAACATTACACTTAGTAGTGCCTATGCTGAAATGCCACGTGTCCAGATGGGAGTTTCAAAGTTTAAATATGTTCATCTAGCAATGCAATTAAAATACAATTTGGTTGAAAAACCGGTCCACTGAAACTTATCACGCCGCCCTGGGCTGAACTGGCAAAAGAACAGACTGGCAAGCCTTTCTGGCTAGTAATCTCATTGTATGTTACTTCATGTGTCTCATGCCATGATATCTAATAAATAATATATAAACGCTGCCCCCTTGAACCAATCTTTTATAAACAGGAGGTACCGCATAAGATTTCTGTTGCTATACTGTATTTAGACAACTTCTGTAAATGTAAATCCTAAATGTGACCCTCTCTTAAATTCCCTTACCTTTACAATAAATCCTAAATGCAATATATTTGTCATTGGGCAGTTTGCAACTTCACCAGCTGTAAAATACTTTAGAAGAGAAAAGTCTATGGACAATGAGGGATAGTTAGTGGGTTTACAAAGTAGCTAGTTTTGTTAAAATAATCCATTGGCATTAATTAAATGTGGAATGAGGTGCATGTGAGATTCGAGAAACATTAACACACCAATACGCTCCAAAGAAGAATCGAGCGGACGTCCGCTGAAACACGAACACAGCAATGTGCTCCAAAGAAGAATCGAGGGGACATCAGCTGCTGAAACACTTCATATAAAAGGACATATCACCATTTGGGATATTGCTGGTTTATTCCATTTCAGTTCCACGTACTGAAGTTGTAGTCATTTAAAGAGCAGACATATTTATCCGTTTGTTTACTAACCCAGATTAGACACAAAGAAATTAATTTGTGGCATTTTCTCCCAATACATGTGTTACAGCTTTGAATATTAGTGGCCAATGGAAACATACTAGCAATGATTGTCCGTTTCATTACTTCTCTTATACACTGGGCAGATGTTTTGTGGAAAGCACACAAGGAATTATAATACATTGGGGCAGTTAGAGAAGTATAGATAAAATAGGGGAGGGGGTAATGTGCCAAATGTGTAGCAGTCACCGTGGTAACCAACTGCTGACTTACTTTTAAATTGTTTTCATGCAACATATGCTTCTATCACTTCCATATTATTTTCTGTAACACATTAAACAAGTTTCTCATGGCTTTTATATATATATTTTAAATAATTTTACCTATTACAATTTTGTATTTTTTTTTATTAAAGTGCATGGGTTGTGTAATAAAAAGTACACACATATATATAAATACACAACATATAATGGAGTTAAAATTTAACTTTGGTGGAATTTAACATAAAAACTGCATTTTTCAATGGGAATTCATGACGGAATTGAAAAATATAGGCTAAAATAATTAGTGCTGGAAAAATGACACAACTGAACATGTATTTTGGCTTTGATTTTTCAATTTGGTCATTACTTGACCACAGTTCCCACATTTGCAAATAAGCATTTAAATGTATTATTCCTGTAATATAAAAGTAAATTTTTTTGACATTAAGATCTTTGTTTTTTACCTCTCCAAGCAATTTTGCATAGCATTGTAATCACTGCCATAACATCATTTGAAAAGATTGGTGGTAAGGAGGTTTTAGAAGCCATCTCACACATCAGATGACTGTTAATTTAGATTACAAGTCGACCCAGAACAGCAATGGGTCAAATGAAGGATTAACAGCTGCAATCTTAAAAATGATAAATACAGGGTCTATATATTTTTCTAGAACACAGCTTTACAATTAAAGGCAAATACAGCAACAAGAAAGATTGTCTAAGATAGGATAAATCATTTTCACATATTTCAGCACATTCTGTACACTTACCTGCCTGAGAACCCTTTAGGGGCCTAGCTGAAAATATAAGCTAACAAATCCATTACCTCATTATCTGCTGCACTACCTGGGAGACCTCTCCTCAGTTAAAATTAATTTTGTATAAAACAATTCTCTCTCTCGTCCCAAATACTCCACAACCTGCTATAATGCATCAGGACCTCTTTTTCAAATTGGCTTCTTATTTGATGCCTTTGGAAACTTAAAGAATGGTTTTCTAGAATGGTTTTCATGCCAGGACATTAGGTTTAAATAGACCAGAGATCACTGGAGAAGCACAATTGGAGCTGGGAATCTTAATTCTGACTGCCACTGAACTAGGCACATAAGCCAGTTGTCAGGAAGACTGGTGGCTGGACATTGGTTTGTCTTATACACTGATTAATATGGGAAGCGAAATGTAAATCAAAATTTTAACTAGAAGCAGGTTCTGAGTGCAGAAATGGCTTACACTGGCATTGCAGATTTCTAAGCCATGTTTCCATGAAGGCATGGCCATCATTTATTGGGAAATATAGTTAAATTACATCTGCTGCATTACGATTAGCCATCAGTATTGTAGTTCAGTAAAGTGTCGGAACAGTAGCGAGTATTAACAGGAAGGCACGGCAGGATAATCTGTTAAGGAACATAGACTGTCACATAGAAATGTTGTCATGATAAAACCAAAAATGCTGAAAGACTTTAAAATGCATTTAACATCCAGAACCGCTATGATCTAAAGATTCAGACTATATACGTACAAGTTTGCCATGCTTTTTCGGTCAAGAGGGACATCTACAGAAGAAGATGCCTTTTTAAGGCTGTACTGATCTAAATACAGAACTACAGTTTGTATTTTTTAAGATTGCTTAACCCCCCCTTTTTTTTAAGTGTCCCTTTATTAGTATGAAGTTCTGGCAAGTGCATTTATATCTCAGACACTACAAAATGCTTATATATATATATATATATATATATATATACATATATATATATATATATATATATATATATATTTAAGCATTGACTGATGCCAATGGTGTCATAAGGATCTGACTCGAGATGTTAGGGGTATTAACCAAAAGCATAAGCTGAAGGCAGATAGCACGGAATGATTTGTACAGAAGCTCAAATGGCTGCGAAGAAGCAGCATACTCAGTCATATGGCATAGCATCATAAGCTGCACATTGTATGCCTATCTGCTTATGAAAAGAGGGCTTAGATAAATCAGCAAACTGTAGAGAAAACAATGGTATGTAATGGGCGAAGAAGAAAAACTAGGATGAAAAACAGGGGCGAAGGTAAAACATTTGGCAGTGCCAGCTTGATAACAAGATCATGTTAAAATGAGACGTTCGCATGCGCAATCACCAATCCATGTGTATGACTGCAGGTGGGGCAAGCGGGAACATAAAATTCCTTCCTTAATTTCAGCTTTCTTCACCAGCTGCAGCCACTCCAATGTCTTGTCAATAGAAAGCACAAAACCCTTCAATCCACATATACGAGTTGAGGCAAGTTACTTGGCAAATGATGACTTAGGACATGGTGTGTTGCCATGCCGTGTTAGATGCACATCTAGGTTATCCAGGATGGCAGCAGTGATCCGCCGAACGTTGGGATCAGCACACACGTGGTCTCTGATGAGGTGCAACTTCACAAGGCCTCCTTCTTCAATCAGCATATTACAGTACCGCACAGCTGGAGACAGAGTGGTGATTAACATAAAAAGAAGTCTGCATCTCTTGCATTAGATAACTAGATACTGTTTTTAATATATAACTGCGTGGCAACAACATCCTCCTTTTTCTTATGTGTGGTCTACGGATTTAAAAATGAAAGTAACTCCCCGTCACCACTAACCCAACCATAAAGCCAGAAGGCAGTGCAGGGCTTATTTCCTTGGCTGAGAGCGATTGCATTATCTGCAAGCCCCTGTCCATCCAGCTTATATATTAAGCATTTAACAAACCAACAAGAAGTTTAACTTCCTTTAACAATGATGAGATTATTTCAGAAGCAGTGTTTTTGGGGTAGAGCAGGGGTTTTCCCAGGAGTTATGGTTCAAGCGTTAAATTGCTAAAAGATGAAAACAACTTTGAGAAACCCAAATCATGACATCATGTCAGCTGTATTTCTAGAGAAAAGGAAGGTAACTGCAGGTTGGGAAAGAGGGGAAAAACAGGTGTTTTCCTAGAAGATAACTCCCTCGATCAATGGTGTCAAATGAAGAAATTTACTCTCCCCTCGGTCTGTAAACTATGGACAAACAAAATAACGGTTATACAGTATACTAATACTAAAGTGAGAATTCAAAGTGAAGGTCACAATAGTGGAACTGGAAAAAATAAAAGTCTAGCTTTGCTTGCAGAGTGACAATTTTAGCCTTAAATTCACTTTGAATTCTAACTTGTGTGAATAACCGTATAGCATGTGATGATGCAGAAGGGTTTATAAAGTAATAAAAAGTAACAGACCACAAGCAGCTTCTGCGTGATATGAGAAGGCCAGCCTGTGCTATATTGGAGAATTTAAGACATTTTCTTTACTGGTTATTATTTTTTTTCGCATATCTTTTTACTGCATTAAAACAATGGAAGGTCACTTCCTGCATATTTGTGCCCCTTTAACTAATTAGTGCATTAAGCTTTTCAAAACACATACTAATGCTTTAGGGACTTTCTAAGAAATACATACGGTTTTTGCTGCACACATGCTGCATGGCCCACACTGCCCAGAGCTGCACACCAGGTGTGGCAAAGCACGCGAGGAGTGGAAAAAAAGGGTTAAAGGACCTGCAAAGAAAGAGGCACAATACAGGTCAATTCAGTTTACACTTAAATAGTTTATCTACTTACAGTGCAACATGTTGAAGTTCTGTATCAATTACACTTCTTTAATGGAATAACATATCGATTTTTGGAAGTATCAATGCTGGTGCTGATAAATTCAAGAGGAGGCAAAAAAAAACAAAAAAAAAACGTCCGTACACACTTCCCAAGAAAAGTTTAAATATGTAAGCTTCTTTTATTGCATAATGTGTTTAATCTAGAAATTTGTAACTCCTGCTGTGTTAATAGCCTTTTAGAGCCTACAGCAGCCTTCTGTGTGTTATTTAAGTTCAATTAGCAGAGCAGGAGATAAGAACTTCTAAATTAAACACAATTTGCTGTTAGATCTGCCTGAAACATGAACCATTTTTCATATTGGAGGCTATGTGAGTCCCAGCCGTGGGGAGAGATGACTAAGGTTGCAGAAATAGACACAATAATGATTTCACTCCTAAATGGCAGAGAAGTGAGCAGTGAGACTGCAGGTGCATGATCTATACGTCAAAACTGCTCCATTAAGCTAAAGTTGTTTTGGTACCTAAAGTAACACTACAAAATAAAGAAAATTTCTCTCAAAAACTGTTTAAATTTTGGGAATAATACATGATCACCCCATACAAAACAATTCAATGAAAAAAAATAAAAATAAATCTGGTTAACAAATAACCGCATAGTAAGGTTCTTCTTGTAAAACCCTCAGGTAGAAGAAAGGCCTCTACATCTATTGCACTTCTCCCTCACTGATGATTTACTAATATAACTCCGTCTCTTCACCCGTACTTCTTTCAATGGACTCTGCCTTACCTTTCCTTGTCAATCAAAATTATAATTGCATTTAGATTTAAATTCAAAGTATTGATTAAAAGTCTTATTGTTTTAACACTATATTTTTTTATGCAAATATTCCGAACTGTATCGTACTCTTCTGCTGCTCAACAAAATGTTATTAGGTATCGCTGCCAATAAATTGAGATCAATAGATACAGGTCTTACCTATAGGCCACCATTTCACATTCCGGTGTTGGCCAGCTTAGGATCGCTGATTGCTGAAAACCATACAAAATCCTATTACATACAGTTAATCACAACAAACAAGAAGTACAATAACAAAATAGATCAATTGGCAGTGGCAGGCTTTTTACAAAGGATATCCATAAATTAACCACATGGGACATGAATGGAAAGGCTGCTTCTAACAGATTGTCCGTGAACTAACCATACAGGAGATATATAGTAGCCCTAAATAAATATGGAAATTTCATCACGGAATCACTTTACAATAAGCTAATGGGGCAGACTGGTATAATGCAAAATGCAAGGAGAAACAGGAGTGTTGGAAAAACAGATCTTTAAATATCAAAATGCAGACAGTGTTCATTTCACTACAACTTACTGTTTGGGGAATTAATTTTAAGGGAACAGAAAGATTGTAATTGAAATGCAGCAAAAGAAAAACACACACACACACACAATGAATAAAAAAAAAGCCCTAGTGTGTGGTGGTTATGACTGGGAGTGGTCGTACTGTCATTCTGAGCATGTGACGGTCTCTGCCAGGGCACATAATACTAACCAGCTGTTCCAGTAACATGTTCCTTAGCTCAGAACCCAGGGTCCATGTCTCTTCTCCCCGAGATACAAGGTGTGCAATAATTCCAGCTGCAAAGTAACTGACTTCTACCTCCACACTATGCAGCAGCTTGCTGATCTGGTCAATGAAATCCTTCCACATGAGCTCAGAATGCAGCTCTTTCACCTCTGCAATGTTGTTCTGCAATGAGCAGGAGAATTATCAAAGACATGAGGAGCAGCTTAGAGCAACATTGCAGCAACCAACAATATTACAACAAGTACTAATGATTTAAAACCCTAAAGGACCAATGTCGTTATCACAAACTGGTACCGGAAAACCTTTTGGAAGCATGGAATGTCTAGAGCTTGCTGTAGTGATTATACTGCCTAGAATCTCAAATGTCATCCACTTAGAAGCACCGATGTGGGCACATATTGTGGGCACCGATGAGCAGCGCTTACTGACTCTTGGCAATATAATGAATACAGTGGACTGTTGTGGTTATGGTTATGTTGTTTTGCATGCCCCTTGAGTGGGACATTTCATATATATATAGTGATTGTTGGACCTAGTGCTAAGCGTGCTTTAAAGTTTCCCCATAGAAAAGCACAGAATCAACAGAAGATGTTAAAACATTGAACATGGAAGATCTTAAACATCCTCATGTAAAGTGAAAGGATGTCCATCGGATAGCGGAGTGCAACTCCGCAACGGACCCGGTCTGGGTGCCTATATTGCCCCTTTAGGTTTCTGTGAGTTGTAGTTTAGATTTTAATTTTAGTACAAGACTGGTAAATGAACTACAACTCTCACAACTAAACAGTGTTTATGGGATAGGTTCTGCAGTGCTATAGAAAGTTAAGTGAGGGGAATCCCTTCCTGATTTGGTGAGAGCTCATTGCAAAAGCTGCTCAGCCTTGGAGTTTGCAGTAAATACTGGAATTTCAATGTATCTTACATAATTTTAATGTGCTGTTTTGGCATTTTATATGATATATCATCTAAAAAGGTGTGACTATATGCAGCATTTGAAATAACAATGCACTGACATTAACAAACAGTTAAAATGGGACAATTAAAAAAAAAAATCAGACTTACCAACAGTCCTAGAACTTTTTGCTGAATGGAGGACTCGGTAGGAAACGTCTGTAACGAGAAAGTAAGTAATAAAAGATGAGTTCTATACATTGAAAGATAACAAATTGCTGTTTTACGAGTTCATTTTAAAGCAAGAAAATAGTATAAGAAGAATATTATATTTTTATAGTAATTGATGGTGATGTTTAGAGAACTGCACCAGTAAGACAGTTGGTAAACGTAAATGGGTTTCTCGGGAAACAGGGCTGTACATTAGAAATAACATACAAGACAATGGTGACTGCATTTTAAGTTAAAGCACCATCACCAGTTTGTCATGAAGATAGAAACGTTATCAAACACCTGTATTGGAATTTCTTTGAAGCAGATATTGAAGGATATATTTAAAGTTTAATGGGCTTTAATGAAATGTTGCTTCTCAAAGGGGAAGTACGCAAAGAAATGTGATGAATGACAACCCTAGCCATTACATGTCCCTTTCAGATTTCCTGCAATAAGTAGTACAATAGCATTACATCCAATTATTTATCAATACTCTATTGCATTTATTTTGTTTATTTGCAGGTGCTGTATTCCCATGCGTCTCTCTTTCTCTTTATGGATAGATTTGGGAAAGATAGAGTTTGGCAGGAATCCCAATGGGAAGCATTGTTTTTCTCCTTGTAGTACTAAATATTCCATTAACGTGTGGTATGGTGTAATATAATTTTACTGTACGCTTTGGTACTACAGAATTCTAAACATGTGTCTAGATCAGTCGCCCAGCAGGTTCCGTTCCAGCTGCACAGCAGGAATGGTAACATGGGCTGCATTGGGTTATACAAATGGAAACAGAAACTATGAATTTATTCATGTTATAGGACAGATCGGGCTTCACCTCAAGAACTTTCATGAAGAGTTCCAGGCCTTGATTCTCTATAAAGTGTCTGCAAGTGGTTGGTGATTCATCTGTAAGGTTCCACAAGGCACTCAGCGTGAACTTCAGGGTTGTGTCCACCAAGCTCTGGTTGGTTTTCTGTCTCACAATTTGTAGCAGTTGCTGGAAAATAATTTATATTATTGTTATTATAAACATTTAAAGGAAATTAGTGAGGTGCCTGGAATACAAGTTCACGTGTCACAGCATTCAAAAAGGTGGGCTACCCGAAAACTGCAGTTTTCTTTTAAATGTTTTACTGGGCACATTTTTAGAAACTGAAATTACAGCTTTATTTAATTATATTGAAGATGGACAATCACACCCCCCACCCACCTCCAAAAAAAAAAAAAACCAACTCTCAAAACCTGCATTTAATGTTACATTTCATGCTCTTTGTAATCCTCGCTAAATCTAAGCTAGAGAGAATGTAAAAAAGGAGAGCATTAATTCTATAAAAGAGGTCATGGACCCTCGTTCCGCCAATACACAGAACAATTGTAGAAAAGACAAACATTCCATCGTATTTTGTAATCAATGGTGTATCTTTATTTGTGCCCACATCTAGCATCAGGTTCAAGTGTTACCTGATGTGAACACCGAATAAAAGAATAATAATACTGGTTTATGGCTGTGCTGGACTATTCAGATTTCAAAAACAGACTTAAAGAAACATTCCAAATCTCTAAAGCTAAAGTAAAGTAGGTTAACAAATTGTATCCTATTTCACACTTTAAAAAAGAGATTTCAACAGAAACTGGCACAATTATTTCAAAGGTGCTAAGTTGCGCCCTTACAGCCATCAGGCTGATTTGTGTCCCAGGTTTTCTAGCATAAATATTGTTTGTGCAGTGCAGATGTTGATGTGCATGCACCATGCCTCCTTTTGCTTCTATTTACATTAAGGATTTATCATCCCTTTAAACCAATTATTGTTAAAACATAACTTCCACTGTAAAATAAAATGATCAAGGAGATTTATACCCGAACAATGAAAAGTTCAGTCCCTAGCTGAGCAGTCTGTTCAGTAGAAAGCTGTCAAAGAAAAAAAAAAAACAACACATGTGAATTATTGTAAGAACATTATATCAATGCTTCGCTCATAATGTAGTAGTGTAGAACCAAAATGAAACACAAACTACATTATTTTCAGTTGTCATAAAGATTTTTCCAAAAACTTAAAGTTACAAATTGAAATGCAGTAAGGGAATTTAAAGGGATCACGACAATATAAGGTACCGGTAGGTTTGCACTCGTGGCACTATAGTCACCAAAACAACTTTAGCTTAATGAAGCAGTTTGGTGTATAGATCATGCCCCTGCAGTCTTCCTGATCAATTCTCTGCCATTTAGGAGATAAATCATGTTGTTGATGCAGCCATAGCCACATGTGACTTACACAGACTTTCAAAACACTTGCTGTAGAGAGTCATCTAATGTTCCTTTATAGCAAATTCTGTTTAATTTAGAATTTCTTATATTCAGCTCTGTTAATAGCTTGCTAGATCCTGCAGGATCCTCCTGTATGTAAAGTTCAGGTAACAGAGCAGGAGATACAAATGTTTAACCCCTTAAGGACCAAACTTCTGGAATAAAAGGGAATCATGACATGTCACACATGTCATGTGTCCTTAAGGGGTTAAAGTAAGATACATCTGATTGAAAATAAATCCATTATGTTTTCATGCAGGCTGTGTCAGTCACAGTCAGTGGAGGTGTGCCTAGGACTGCATAAACAGAAACAAATTTGATATAAATCATCAATGGCAGAGAATTGAGCAGTGAGACTGCAGGGACATGATCTATACCAAAACTGCTCCATTAGCCAAAAGTTGTTTTGGTGAAAATAGTGTCCCTTTAAGAGGAATCCCGCCTCGCCCTTTTGGCACGAGATATTATGCCATATCTCTGTGTCCTGGATGTAAAAGCAGAGAGAATGCCATGCTGGAAAAGACAGATTATGCTCACTTGTGACTATGGTTGTTTTAGACTAGCAGGGACACAACGTTGAACCTCAGGGAGCATCCACAATATTTACATATGCTACAAATAAGATAAAACACATACACTTCCCAGTTTTAAAAGGCATTGTATGAATGAATTAAGAAACATTTATTTATTTATAAAATATTTTACCAGGAAAGATACATTGAGATTTCTCTCGTTTTCAAGTATGTCCTGGGTCCACAAATCATTGCATTGTTACATTAGGGTACAACAAAATACAAAAACAATATTAATACACAATAAATACAAAATTTAACATGGAACAGGCAGGAAATATATAACCAACCATGACAGGTGCATTCTGTTTTGAGGTATGTAGAGAGGGATCTCTTAAAGGACTTTAGGCTTAGGGAAGATTTTAAATTGTGCGGGAGGTCATTCCACAATTGCGGTGCTCTGTAGGAGAAGGAGGATCGGGCCGCTTTCTTTTTGTATTGAGGTAGACTAAGTAAAGTTCTGGTACTGGATCGGAGCTTATAGGAAGTGGGAATAGCTGGGGAAAGCATTTTGTTCCGGTAGGGTTTTCCAGAAAAGCTCTTAAAAACAAGGCTGGAAAGATGAAGGGTGTGTCTGGATTCCTGCGACGGCCAGTTTAGCTCCATGTTCGCTGGCCTGTGGCTTTCTAATTCATTATGGACTTTTTGTTGCTTGGTTTGTGGTTTTGATTCAAGTCTAGAGAATATAGTGTTTGCAGTGAGAATTTCCAGGTCTCAGGTTTTATATGCTGTTAGTTTGCATAATGTTGGAAAAAAGCAGAAAAAAGAAAGAGGAACAACGTCTTTGGTTGTATTGTTTCTGCTTTTTCTTTTTTCAATTTGTTAGTCATAACAGGCATGCACAAGCAGATACTATTACTTCCCTAATTGTAACATTAGCTATGACGTGTTAGTGCTTTAAATGAGCACTATAATTACCAAAACAACTTTAATTTAATTAAGCAGATTTGGTGTATAGATCAGGCCCCTGCAGTCTCACTGCTCAATTCACTGCCATTTAGGAGTTAAAGGGACACTATAGTCACTAGAACAACTACAGCTTATTGAATTTGTTCTGATAGGAAGAATCATTACCTTCAGGCTTTTTGCTGTAAGCATGGTCTTTTCAGAGAAAATAATAACTTCACTGGCTGCAAGAGGTGCTTCATGGAGCAGTCCTGCCTAGTGTGCAGCACTGCCATTCAGTGTCTTCGCCCTCTGCATGCAGACACTAATCTTTCCTCATAGAAATGCATTGATTTAATTCATCTCTATGAGGCGATGCTGATTGGCCAGGCCTGTGTTTGACTTGTGCTGGATCCGCCCCTGATCTGCCTCCTTGACATTGTCAGCCAATCCTATGTGGACGCATTGTGATTGGCTCAGACCACCACTTATGATTATGTCAGCAGACAGAGGCAGTTCAGGGGCAGAGGCAGCAGCTACAGACTTGAATACAAGTACGTTTTTACTATATTTAGGTAGGCAAGGGGAGCCAGATGGTGGTTTTAACACAATAGGGTCAGGAATACATGTTTGTGTTCCTGTCCCTATAGTGTTCCTTTAAATCACTTTTGTTTCGGTTTATGCAGCCCTAGCCAAAACCTCCCTTGGCTGTGACCGACACAGCCTGCATGAAAAAAATAAAAGTTTAATTTTCATTCAGATGTACCTTACTTTAAAGGTTTTTAATACTGCTCTGTAAATTTAACTTTAATTACATACAAGAGGCTCCTGCAAGGTCTAGCAAGTTATTAACAGAGCAGGAGATAAAAAATGATAAATTAAACAGAATTTGCAGTAAAGGAAGTGAAGGAAGTGTAAACATTAGACGACTCTTTACAGGAAGTGTTTGGGAAGCCTGTGTAAGTCACATGCAAGGAGGTGTGAATAGGGATGTATAAACAAAGTGATTTGACTCCTAAATGTCAGATAATTGAGCAGTGAGACTGCAAGGGCATTATCTATATACCAAAATTGCTTAATTAAGCTAAAGTTGTTAACAGCGTCTGGTGCCTCTTGATAAGCAGATCTGCCCGGAATCACAATTATTTGTGGGAAGATAGAAACCTGTGCGACTGCAGCCTAGTCCAGCTGATGTAACAAGCGGAGAGGAGAAGCAGGAGATTGGCTGAGTTGTGGATCCAAGCTAGTGATTCGCCCTGCTCTACGCCCCTCCCCCTGGGATGGTGGGAGTTATCCCTGTCCCCACCAGAAATGCTCTGATTCGAGAAACATCATCTCAACTTGGGAACACTGTATTCTAAGATGACCTCAGCTCCATATACAGTTGTAATCAAAATTATTCAACCCCCACTAAAAAGCAATTGAAATAGCTCAACACAATAAATGCTTCAGGTGGTTTCCCCAAATTAAACTGAAAATGCAACTTATAATGACTTCTCCAGTCTCAAAATGATTAAACCCCCTGAATAGAATCCCTCACAATAGCACAAATATGCAAAACATGTGTTGTTTCAAGCACACCTGATGCAACTAATCAAGGGCTTCATTAGTTTCACCAGGTGTGCTTAAGCAACAACACTTGAAATACCGGAAGTGGCTAGGGGTTTGTTGAGTGTCATGTTTGACTGCATGTTAGAAATACGGCTAAGACAAAAGAATGGTCCACAAAATTAAATGACCACTGTAGTGCCAGGAAAACACTCTAGTTTTTTCTGGCACTATAGTGCCCTGAGGGTGCCCCCACCCTCAGGGACCCCCTCACGCCGGGCTCTGGGGAGAGGAAGGAGTTAAACTTACCTCTTTCTCCAGCGCCGGGCAGGGAGCTCTCCTCCTCCTCGGCTGAATGCACATGCGCGGCAGGAGCCACGCGCGCATTCAGCCAGTCCATAGGAAAGCATTCACAATGGTTTCCTATGGACGCTGGCGTCTTCTCACTGTGATTTTCAGAGTGAGAAGCACGCAAGCGCCTCTAGCGGCTGTCAGACAGCCACTGGAGGCTGGATTAACCCATTTATAAACATAGCAGTTTCAGAGAAATTTCTATGTTTATTTAAAAAAAAAGGGTTAACCCTTGCGGGATCTGGCACCCAGACCACTTCATTGAGCTGAAGTGGTCTGGGTGCCTATAGTGGTCCTTTAAGAACAGAGATCGCCCTTCACAAACAAGGAACAGGCTACAAAAAAACACCCAAAGACACTAAATGTTCTTAGCGACACTGATGGAAGCACAGTTCACAAGTTTAAAGTTGAAGGAACAGTGGTTACACTTCCTGGATGGGGCTAAAAAAGGAAGCTGCTACCAGATTTCTGAGAAGGTAGTGACTGCAAAAAACCTGCACCAAGATTTGGTGGCAACAGGCACAGAGATTTAAGTGAGCACAGCAAAGCGCATATGAATGAACTCTGCCAGAAGCTGATGTCTGGCTATGAATCTCATTTGCAGCAGGTCATAACAGCAAAATGGTACACTACTAAGTACTAAAAATGTTTGACATGAAGGACTTGAATAATTTTGAGACTGTAGAAGTTACTATAAGTTGCATTTTTAGTTGAATTTGGGAAAACCACTTTAAGTATTCATTGTGTTGAGCTATTTCATCTGCTTTTGTTTGCTTTGTTCATGAGTCTAAGTCTGTAAATTTCAACAATAAACCTGATTTTCAATTGAGGTTGAATAATTGTAATTACAATTTTATTGTAACAACAGAAGGCAACTTATGAAGCAATCATTTGTGACCAATTTTGGCAACGTATACAGCAACGCTCCCAGTTCACTTCACCTGAGGTCATGCAGACCAAGGGTGGTGTTGCTGCTCATCGTTCTCCCTATGGGCCGAGAATCCAAATAGGTGTAGACCCTGAGCACTGTTCACAACCTTGGGGGATGGGGGGGGGGGAGAAATCTCTGTTATCTTGGACTCTCTTGGGACAGTGACCTGATCACTGGGATTGTAAAGTGATTGTAAAGGTCTTTGAACATCGAGTGTCTGACCTCTTTACAGCCTGGAATTGGAGAAGTGAGGCCACAGGGCGCTATCATGTTGAGCTACTAAGATCTCCTGTGTTCATCAAAAGCTTGTGTGAGGGTATTGGTTGATTATAGGCCTTTTCTATGTGCAGCAGCCAATGTATTACCACTATAATTATTCTCTTCAATTGTATTACTTTTTAAGTCTTCCATCTAAGAGCTCTCCAGTCCAAGGAGTGCATTATACAATGCATTACAGTGCATAAATCAGCTTTGTCTTGGTGGCAAACACAAGCATGTAGTTCTCATCACACACAAAAAAACAAAAACAAGAAAAACACTTCAAGAATGACTGAGCTAGTGCGTATCACAGGTAACGACTTAGATGTCAATGGTAAGCATTTCAAATAAAAAAGTGTCTCTTATGGGGAAAAACAAATCACAGCTCTTTGGACATGAACTTTCCATATTAAAGAACCTTTGTAATGGAAAAGTGCCCAACCCAGTCTTCAAGGCACAATAACAGCCCATAAATTTGTTATTTCTAAATTCTGTTACAATGGGAATATTGACAAAATAGTAACCACTGGTGTAACTTGAAGACTGAGTTGGGAACCACAAAAATAGTTAACTAAAAGTTAGTTAGGAGTTGTTTTATTATTTTTGTTATTGTTTTGCTCACATCTTATGCCCGGCTGTGCTGGCCCAGTCATAGTAAAGATACTATATGTCTTGCACTTGTGCTGGTTTGACACACTCCAAAAATGTTCCATCTTAAGTGACAATCCTAATATAATACTTGTAGCAATGCTCCCTTTGGGTAATGAGAGTTAAACTCACTAAGACAGATTAAAAGAAAAAAAAAAAAAGATGAACTCAGACCTTTGCAGCCAGGATTGAAATAATTGCCACAGCCATCCGCTGCATGTTCTGATCTTCATGATTACATAACCACTGCATGACTAGCTTTGCAGCATCAAACCTGAAAAGCATACAAACAAAAGCTATGCTATTATACATATCAGATATCTCAACAACATGGGGTGTTATAACTACAGAGTACAGAAAATGGTTAACATTAATATAAAAAAAATGAAATCAATAGAAAGAAAATGTAAAAAGGCACAAGAGGGAAAAACCAAAGTAAAAGAAATGTGTTCTTATAAGAAGAGAAAATGATCCCTGTGTGAAATGCTCTAACTAGAGAATTAAAGTATGAATGACAATAACAAATCATAGTCATCACAACCATGTGAAGTATATGCTTGCATTCCGTGAAATGTCTGAAAGACCAGTTTCTGATCGGTGCCAAGCACTTCTACCCTGGTGACACAATCTTCGAGGAATGGTGGTAGACCAAACACCAATTGATGAAAATCAAACACTGAGCATTTTTCAGGGGATGAGAGATCACCGATTTCTATACATTCCAACAGGTACAGTAGTAACACGGGTATAAGTCAAAATAATGACAAGGACAATATATGTTTGTATGTAATGTTATTATTGACACTTTCATCAAAAAGGTCTAGCCTTGCAGACATGGTTTGCAATCAGGTAGGGGTTGTGATATAATCATAAAATCCATAGGGTGGTGTTGATGCAAGTGTTTATTTTTGTGTCCCGTCATCCTCTACATATTCTTGCACGTCTAAAACCTCACACTCAAGTTTTACAAATTATTATAACCGAGGAATAAAATGGATTAATGTAGTTTAAAATGTTTGTAGCAGATTTTATTACCCACCTGTTAAATGGAACGTCCTGTAGGATTCGGTCACTGCACAGGGAAAGTAGACAATTTTTCTGCAACTAAGAAAATATTTTTTTTTTATAATTTTTAAAAAGAAATATTTTACAGTTTAAGCCCCTCTTACCTATTCTCTGTTTGCTTAATGGTTTGCATAGGTGGTACAGAACTCAAGACAAAGACAGAAGCAGGCTAGTTATAGCACACACGCGAGCACAACAAGAAGTAATAATTCATCATAGAAACATAGAATGTGACGGCAGATAAGAACCATTCGGCCCATCTAGTCTGCCCAATTTTCTAAATACTTTCATTAGTCCCTAGCCTTATCTTATAGTTAGGATAGCCTTATGCCTATCCCACGCATGCTTAAACTCCTTTACTGTGTTAACCTCTACCACTTCAGCTGGAAGGCTATTCCATGCATCCACTAATCATCTTTATTATATCAAACTGTTAAAATCTCGCACATAAAAATGTAAATTCCTAGTCACAAAAGAACAAATTAAACACATTAAAAAAAAAAACCATAAAGAAGGCCAAGATCGAGATTTTTACCCCTGTTTTAAAGTCTCAGTACAGGCAATAGTAAACATATTTACTAACAATAGACAGCTAATGGAATTACACCAAATCAGATGATGAATCAAAAGCTCTAAAAAAGAGCAAACCATCAAAGGTATAAAGCAATGTCCAACAGTTAACCTGAGAGGGATATAACTATAAAACAAAAGACATAGCCCCAGTTTTAAAAGTATACACCTGAATAGTGGGCAGTGGCCTACTAATGGAACAACTCCGCCAATATAATTTGTGGTTATGGCGGTTCTACTAAAGCACACTTATCAGATACGGAACAAAATCTTTGAAAATTAGGTTCAGACAGGCATAGACGTAAATAATTGTACAGAAGACTAACTATGCTGGTCACATGGTCGCCATATGCAACAGTGATTATGTAAATCAACCTTAGTGGGACTCTGACAATACTTAATAAATGTCTAGTCGGTCAGTCACGTGACAAATTAAAAAAGGGTTATTTTTTTGTTTTAACTAAGAAATGTGAACCGTTAAAGTGGTGCTGTCGCTTTATTTTTCATACACTTGACAATCTTGACAATTGCCTTAAAGGGACACTATAGTCACCAGAGAACTACAGCTTAATGTAGTTGTTCTGGTGAGTATAGCCTGCCCATGCAGTTTTTTTGCTGTAAACACCATCTTTTCAAGGATAAGGCAGTGTTTACATTGCTCCCTAGGGCACCTCCAATGGCAGTCACTCAGATGGCTATTAGAGGTGCTTCCTGGGTCAGTGCTACACAATGTTCAGCACTGATGTTCAGTGTCTCCACCCTCTGCATGGAGACACTGAACTTTCCCCAGAGATATGCATTGATTCAATGTAATTCTATGAGGAGATGCTGATTGGAATAGATCAGAAATTAAGAAAAGTTTCTGAAAGAGGAACAGAAGAGGACACAATAGGAGAAAGGAAAGTTAGAGGTGGCAGAGCCACTTTCAGAAAATACACTTGCCTCATTCTACCACAAAATCAGAAACCGCAAGTGAACCTTCCACACAAACAAAACAAATTCACTAATCGACACTGGTGGCACAGCTGTACATTATGTTGCCATTGCAAAGATAACAGACCTGGACAGACACCTTTGCTATTTATCTTGGAGACATCACAAATTTACTCTAGTTACATGGACACACATGCCTAGTGAATCACGTACATCACTGATCACTACATATTGTTACCTTTATTACATTACTTTCCACTAGTCCACCTCACTCGGCTCTCACTCCGCCCTTTCTACTTATTCCAGCCTCCCTTCATATATTTCCAAGTCTCTTTTTTTATTTCCAAACCACTTCCATTTCTCTCTCTCCTATATCCCTATGCCCTCTTCTCTAATATTCATTACTTTACACTTTCTCTGTCCTGCCAATTCATTCTTTATACACCCATCCCCATTCTCCCCATTTTAATTCCCCCTTCCTGCTACCATTTTCATTCTTCTTTTATTTCCCCTCCTCACCACATCTCTTTATTATTCCACCTTCCCCATTCCATCTCCCTTTTCAGGACAGGACTCTCTTCCCTCATTACATCTTCAATTTTATTCCTGTTTCCATCTGCCATTTTCATTCTACATTCCATCAGGAACACTATTTAGAAAAAGGAGATTGTGCCGTTTTAATAAAACTATAATCGTGTTCATCCCTGTTATATAAAAACAACAATTCCATCAACAGACTGCTCCTGTGATTTTGGGTTTGAGACTATAAAGGATGGATTATCTGTTGCTAAGAGACATACCTGTTGATGGTTGGGAAAATGTTTCATTGCTTCTAACAGTAAATGAGTGACATCGGCCAAGAGTTTCACAGGCATCCCGGCTGCTAGGTCCTGTTTAGTCAGGTTAAACACGCAGGCACTGGCAGCGAGCTGTACTGGCAAATTGGTGGGGTGGTTTCGCATTCCAGTCACCACCAACTGCAATAGTAAGTAAATATAACACATATCAGATACTGCTTGCTATTAAACATATATAAACAAATATAATAATGGCCATGAGGCAATGAAGGTTATTCACTGACATAGTAAGGTTTCCCAAGATGCAGTTGTTTAGCTGGCAAAGCATTATGGGAAATAAACACACCTCACAACAGTTACAGCACCACAGATTATGTGTTACTGTCCTAAAGTTTATAATACCTTCAGCATCTCTGGGTTGGCTTTTTCCATGACATGCGTCAGACTAAAGAGATGGAAAAGAGCTTCTCGAACAAAGAAGGAGCGTTCGCTGTATCGACGCAGCGCCTCTGCAATCTGTGTCTGATTGGCTTCCCCCGATACCTAAATGAACAACAACATATTATAAAAACTGGAGTTCGAGACTGGTGTCACATAACGGGGATGCAAATAGGGGAGTGGGAGGCTTAAAGGGGAATGCTCATTTCTCAGGATTTAAACATTGTCTTTATTTATAACAATATTTAACAAATAGGTATTTGTGAGATCTGCAAAATTATATTAACTATAAAAATACACAACACTGCATGTACCTCTATCTGGAAAGTAAGCTCCTCCTTCTTAGTTCTATGTCTATCGTTTTAAATGTATATTAGATCACTGTGGATTCCTTCCTTCCTTCCTAACTATCATTGTTTTAAACACACAACATCAGCTACTGTTCTTATAAACTCCATCTTGGTGCCCGGTCTGTCTTTGTTACAGTATCTGCTCTCTGAAACTATCAGTTAAAATAGAAAGACAGAGGAGAAACCAAAACAATTTTTCTGTTTCTCCATATCCAATGTAATGTTCGCCATGGCTGTGCCTGGACTAAACTGGATTTTCATGTCACTTGATGAATCGTTAAAATATATTTAAAGGGACCCTCTAGTCACCAGAACCACAGCCAGTACAGCTTAATGTAGTGGTTGTGGTGTCAATAGCATGTCCCTGCAGGCTGAGCAAAAAAAGGCAGTGTTTTTACATTGCTGCCTATTAACACCTCTAGGTGCAGTCACGCAGATGTAGCTGTACTGGTGTCTACTGCCTGTCCCTGCAGGCTTTTTAAAGTAAGCACTGTCTTTTCAGAGAAAATGCAGTGTTTACATTTCTGCCTAGGGACACCTCCATTGGCAGACATAGAGACAGACACTTGTGGTGCTTCCTTGGTCAGTGCTGCACAGTGTGGGTATACTTGAAAGAATACAACATAATATATGCTTCTAGCCTCGTTAACAAATCTCTAGCATAAGCTTTCAGTCAATATTTGTGTTTGATCATCACACAGTTGTAATCTATCATGCTTTAAGCAAGTTTCAACCACATGCACATGTCTGCTCCCACAATACAAGAATACATTGTAATCTTACATACATACATACATACATACAAGGACAGCTTCAGATAACAATGTACAGATGAAATTCTGTTCCCGAAAAAAAACTGATTTTGTCAACCATGCATTTATAGAGAATAGGCTCACTTTAACAAAATCTATGTTAAATGACTTCTTTTAGATAACACATGCAATAACTAGAATAAACTGGTTACTTGTTGGCTGATGGAATAATGCACAGCTCCAAACCACTTTAAAATTACTAGTAAAAGAAAAAGTTTGGAAATAAAACAGCAAGTTATGGCACACCTTAACGCTTCCTTCTCCAGAGAGAAGCTCTGAATAGCCAGCTTCTGTGGCCAATAAGCCGACAAACTGTACATGAGGTCGGTGCCTGAGGAATGCCTCCACTGCTTTATCAGTTACATGCTTTCTTCCAGAGACATCCAATGAAACCACTCTGAGCAGAGTATCTTTCTGATCCAATAAACGGCATGCTATGTCTGAAGTGAACTGTTTGTCATCAGATATATCAAGGTGATTAAGGTGCTCCAGTTCTTTAAGGACATCTAAGACTTGTGTCGTCGTCATCTTTAGACATTTCAGGTGGTGCATAGTAAGCGATTTCAGTCTATCCTTTAGGCCTAGAAGGGCTGTAATGTCGGTCACGGAGGTGTTCGAGATATCAAGGCTTTCCAGCCTTGGAAGGGTAGCAACATCGGCAAGATCCTCATTATAAAACAAAACATTGGTGATGCTCAGAGCACGGAGGCCAGACAAAGTACTGAAACACCTCTCATAAGGGTCCTCCAGAGACAAAGTAAGGGAATTTAGGACCAGGCATTGGAGATTCTCCTTGATCCATTTACTGCTACTGAGGCCACTTATGATATCAGTAATGGTGATGTCCGCATTGACCCCAGTGGCATCCAGCTCAACAAGCTTATGGTGGCAGAAAGCCCGTCGGAAAGCTGCAGCAGAGATCTTAGCCTTGCGGATACACGCCCGTTTCAAGCGTAGCTGGTTACCACGGAAAATTCCTACTGTCACCTCATTTAGCTGCCCTGGAGAGGAGAAAGTGCAAGTCTTACATAAAGAGAAAAAAGTGCAAATAAAGTACTTTTAAAAAAACATCCCTCCGAAAAAAACAAATGCAGGGTTTTTACAGGACCTGGTGTAAATTAGATGGAAACCTTGTGACCCTAAAACCTGAGGGTTTAACCCCTTGAGGAACAAACTTCAGGAATAATAGGGAATCATGACATGTCACACATGTCATGTGTCCTTAAGGGGTTAAGGAGGGTAAAAAAAATAAAAATAGCAAAATCCCAACAGGGGTCTGGTGAACTGGCTCCAAAGTATAAAAGAAATGAAAACATTTTTTACGATGAATCTGGCTCCTTCTTACACACAACAAATTGCAAGCTTTCATATGAATATATTGAAGATATTTCTACCTGTGCTCTGTTGAAGAACACAAATGATAGGTGTCAAATTCAGTACTCTTTGACTTTGGTAGTGTGGACATTTTTTATCTACATGCCCAGGAAATCTAATGGCCAACTGAGAAACACAGAAATGTAGTCAACAAATGTGTGTAAAGGTTTGTCATGGATCTTGTTTGTACCGGCAATCATTTGCCTTGTATTAGATACATGCCTGTTACTTTGTGTATAATAAATATATTGTCTGTGTCTCTTCATAATGTCACAAAGGTAAAATATATATAAAAATGGTCTCTCTCTTTGGACAAGATCTTATGTCAAGAGCAGCTATACACAACAGCCACATACATATATTAAAGTGATCTACAGGGTATATTTATATTCCGTAATTAAACCTTCCAAATTAATGTTTACTTTGTGTTGCCATGGTCTGGAGTAGTCGATCTGCCACTTCCTGGGGGAACACTGCAGCATCCTGCAAGCGATAAGTGCCATCTTGTCTCTCCCAGCAGAACTTCTCAAGATGGGAGATCAGGTAATGCAGGGTAATGTCCAGTAAGGAATTAGGAGAAGATTCCTCCTGTGAAGAAAATGTCATCTATAAAAAATATACAATGTATCACAATTAAATGGGTTCGAAAGGAAATCTTTATGGAAAATGGTTTACACAATTGGTGTCCATTCAAAAAAAGAAGGCTTATTGCTGCATATGTTTATACATTTGCATTACATATAAATTATATGACTAGTTAAGTGCTTCTTTATCTTTTTTGTCAGATAACCAAATTACATACATGGCATAGATTGCTTGGCAAACCATACTTTAGTTTTAAAATTAGCTTTATTTATATAATAAATAAAATTCTGCAATGCACCCTCATTATCTCCATTCCCAGAATGGTCTCCATTGGGATAATCAGATCTTGAATAATTGAAGCGAAACTGTTATGTCTGTGATAGTGACATTTTCCCTGGGAAACCTTATTAAAGCAGTAACTGGGGTGAGGAGTACAGTAGGTATAAAACACCAACCATACAAACAGGACAATTAAAGGGACACTTAAAATACCACTACAGTGCCAGGAAAACAAACTTGTTTTCCTGGCACTATAGGTCTTTAGGTCCCCCCCCACCCTCAGGGTCCCACTCCCACCAGGCTGAAGGGGGAGGAAGGGGTTGATAACTTACCTTTCTCAATGCTTTTCCTATGGACGTCAGTGTCTTCTCACTGTGATTTTCACAGTGAGAAGCGCATGAGTGCCTCTAGCGGCTGTCAATGAGACAGCCACTAGAGACTGGATTAACCCTAATGTAAAAATAGCAGTTTCTCTGAAACTGCTATGTTTACAGCAGGCAGGGTTAACCCTAGATGGACCTGGCACCAAGACCACTTCATTGAGCTGAAGTGGTCTGGGTGCCTATAGTGGTCCTTTAAGTCACCCTGACTATGTCTTCTCAATGGTTGTAAGCTCACGGGTCATCTAGCTAAGCACTTTGTATAAAAGAGCTCCAATGGCTAGATATCAGCTTACTGGCAGGGCTCTCTCTACCTCTTGTATTTGTCTGTGTATATTGTATGTTCTCCACTAATTGTACAGCGCTGCGGAATCTGTTGGCGCTTTATAAATACCAGTAATAAATAAATAAACAAATGAAGTAGTCTGGGCGTAATTTTAACCTTTTAGTCCTTCAATGTAAAAGAATAGAGTTTTGTATGTTTACACTGACAGCCACTAGAGGCGCTTACGCAGCAACAATGGAGTAAAACTCAGTAACACTATTTAGCCCTGCTGCAAACAAATAATTGGACTGCCTTTGGGGGGATTGGTGAGAGCCTGGCACAGTGGGGAACCTCCGCCAAGGGCAGACCTCTGTTGTGAGTCAGAGCACAGCCACCAGGATTCCCAGCATGCACTCTAACTCATTGAAAGCAAAAACCGGAGCAGCAACAGGGAAGACTGCCTTCTTAGTGAATTACATTATTTGGTAATAAAATCCAGGCACAGCGTGAAATTAACATTGATATACATGGCAGGTTTATTTTTTTTACTTTTCTTTAATCACTAAGTAAAACAGCTCATGGGAGCTCGAATGTTACTTTACCATACTGTGCCTGGATTATAATTTGTTTATATGAAAGGTTTGCCATGAAGGAGCGTTGTTGGGAGCCACGTCCAAGGTTTCACTGTGGCTTGGCTGGTGTACTTTGCGAAGAGTAGCTAATCTGCTACACCTGCATCTAAACCATACTGCTATTGTCTGCGACTAGAGCCCTGAGGGATTCCTTATTTTGAAGTTACATTAACAGGTTTTGCCTTACTGCCCCATTTAGATGGGAATATTTCTTCATAATACCATGCACATACTTGATTTTTCACACCAAGCCCAATATTGGAGGGAATGTTATGTTGAGACTATATCAGAGTTAGAGAATGTTTCCTGACCAGCTGTTATTACCTCAGTTTTTCCATTTACGGTAGATTTAATTTTAGAACATTTACTTTAGCAAATAGCCTTCTCAATGTCAAGGGCTCTTGTCAGTGGCTTCAAACTTTGTAATTATTATTATTTATGAAGTGCCAACAAATTCCACAGCATTGTACAATTGTAATTGAAATTCTTTTGTGTGAGAACAAGTAGATCGTCATGAAGGACAAGTAGATTGAGCTATGGCGTTAGTCCCTTACACAAACAGATTATTTAAAACTTCCACACCCCAGCAAGGTAGCATCCACACATGCATTAACAGGGCATTCTGGGGGCTTGGATTGTATGCTCTTGAATATATTTATGGCTCAAAATTTCCACTGCCTCCTATAGCATTAGCTAGCAATGACCAGACTCCTGTCACCAAAAGCAGGGGTTCTCTCTGGTCCATATACCCACCATGTTAATTATGGGCAGCTAGCAATGACCAGGCCTTCAGTCACCCAGAACCAGTCCACACTCTAATACGTATACTCACCATGTTGGCTATGGACAGCTAGCAGTAACCATGATCCAATCAGCCAGAGCCGACAAGGACCCGTTTTACCCAGAACCAGGGCTCTGTCTGACACCCATACTCACCATATAAAAAGAACATTATAGTCACCAAAACAACTTTAGCTTAATGAAGCAGTTTTGCTGTTAAGATCATGCCCCTGCAGTCACACGACTCAATTTTCTGCAATTCAGGAGTTAAATCAAGTTTTGTTTCTACTTATGGAGCCCCACTCACACCTCCCTGCATGTGACTTACACATACCTGTAAAGACTTATATAATGTTTACACTTCCTTTATTGCAAATTCTGTTTCATTTAGAATTTCTTATCTCCTGCTCTGCTAATAGCTTGTTAGACCATGCAGAAGTCTCCTGTGTGTAATTAAAGCTCACTTTACAGAGCAGGAGGTAAAAACCTTTAAAGTAAGTTTTATCTGATTGAAAATGAAAACATTTTGTTTTCGTGCAGGTTATATCAGTCACAGCCAGTGGAAGTGTGGCTAGGGCTGCATAAACAGAAACAAAAGTGATAACTCCTAAATGCCAGTGAATTGAGCAGAGGAGCTTCAGAGGCATAATCTATACACAACAATGGCTTTATTAAAGGGAAACTTTATCCCCAGGAAAACAAAATTGTTTTCCTGGCAATATAGCTTCCTATAATTCCTCCCTCTGTCGCACCCCCAGCCCCCATGTGGTGCAGAAGGGGTTAAAGGGACACTATAGTCACCCAGACCACTTCAGCTCAATGAAGTGGTCTGGGTGCCAGGTCCCCCAGGTTTTAACCCTTCAGATGTAAACATAGTAGTTTCAGAGAAACTGCTATGTTTACATAGCAGGCTTAATCCAACCTCTAGTGGCTGTCTTCCTGACAGCTACTAGAGGCGCTTCTGCAACGCTGGATGCAACATTTGCAGAACGTCCATGGGAAAGCATTGAGAAATGCTTTCCTATGGACTGTTTGAATGCGCATTCGGCTCCACTCGGGAGCTGACGTCGGCGGGGGAGGAAAGGTCACCAGCGCCAAGGGGGCCCAGCGCTGGATGTTTTAACCCCTTCAGCCAGTGGAAGGGGGACCTGAGGGTGGGCGGACCCTTAGGACTGTATAGTATAGTGATCCTTTAAATTACGCTTCTGTCACTTACCATATTCCAGTGCTGATGTCCCTCAGCACTGGTTAAGGCTTCGCCTCTGCTCTTCCCTCACCAACACGTCGGCGGGGAAGGAAAGGTCACCAGCGCCGAGGGAGCCCAGCGCTGGATTAAAGTAAGTAACTGCAGGGGTTTTAACCCCTTCAGCCAGTGGGAGGGGGACTTGAGGGTGGGCGGACCCTTAGGACTGTATAGTATAGTGATCCTTTAAATTACGCTTCTGTCACTTACCATATTCCAGTGCTGATGTCCCTCAGCACTGGTTAAGGCACCGCCTCCGCTCTTCCCTCACCAACACCAGTCGGCAGGAAAGACCTAATGCCTATGCCCATACGAAAGCATTGTATAATGCTTTCCTATGGGGTTTTGGGTAAAGCTGGATGTCCTTATGCATAGCATAAGGACGTCCAGCGTCAGTTAGGCGACCAAAAGTGGCCTAACGATCTGGATCTAACCTCTAGTGTCTGTTTAGTAGACAGCCAATATAGGTGGAGCTAACCCTCAAAAGTAATTATTGCAATTTATTAAAAACTGCAATAATTACATTTGCATGGTTAAGGGACCTGGGACAGTGCACCGAGACCACTTCAATGAGCTAAAAATGGTCTGGGTGCCTATAGTGTCCCTTTAAGCTAAAGTTGTTTTGGTGATTATAGTGTCCCTTTAACTATGGGCAGCTAACAGTGATCATGCTCCTGTCACCCATAGCTAATGCTCTCTCTGATCCCTATACTCACAATGTTAACTATGGGCAGCTAGCAGTGTATTGGTGTCCAGGTTCCTATCTCTCACAGCCCTGGCTCTCTGATCCTGATACTCACTATGTTAACTATGGGCAGCTAGCAGTGACCAGGCTCCTATTACTGACAGCCAGGCTCTCTGAACCCTATACTCACCATGTTAACTATAGGCAGCTAGCAGTGTCCAGGTTCCTATTAATGACAGGCTCTCTGATCTCTATACTCACCATGTTTACTATGAACAGCTAGCAGTCCATCACTTTTCAGATTCCTATCACCCATATCCAGGGCTCTCTGATCCCTATACTCACCATGTTACCTATAGGCAGCTAGCAGTGACCAGGCTCCTGTCAACCAAAGCCTATGCTCTATCTAAACCATTTACTCACTATGTTAAATATGGGCAACTAGCAGTGTATCAGTGTCCAGGTTCCTATCACCCTCAGCCAGTGCTTTCTGATCACCATGTTAACTATGGACAGCTAACAGTGTCTGTGTCCCGGTTCCTGTCACCCTCAGCCAGGGCTCTCTGATCCCTGTACTCACCGTGTTAAATATACAGCTAGCAGTGTATGTGTCCAGGTTCCTATCACCCTCAGCCAGGGCTCTCTGATCTCTATACTCACCATGGTAACTATGGGCAGCTAGCAGTGTCTGTGACCCGATTCCTATCACCCTCAGCCAGGGCTCTCTGATCTCTATACTCACCATGGTAACTATGGGCAGCTAGCAGTGTCTGTGACCCGGTTCCTATCACCCTCAGCCAGGGCTCTCTGATCTCTATACTCACCATGGTAACTATGGGCAGCTAGCAGTGTCTGTGACCCGGTTCCTATCACCCTCAGCCAGGGCTCTCTGATCCCTATACTCACCATGGTAACTATGGGCAGCTAGCAGTGTCTGTGACCCGGTTCCTATCACCCTCAGCCAGGGCTCTCTGATCTCTATACTCACCATGGTAACTATGGGCAGCTAGCAGTGTCTGTGACCCGGTTCCTATCACCCTCAGCCAGGGCTCTCTGATCTCTATACTCACCATGGTAACTATGGGCAGCTAGCAGTGTCTGTGACCCGTTCCTATCACCCTCAGCCAGGGCTCTCTGATCCCTATACTCACCATGGTAACTATGGGCAGCTAGCAGTGTCTGTGACCCGGTTCCTATCACCCTCAGCCAGGGCTCTCTGATCTCTATACTCACCATGGTAACTATGGGCAGCTAGCAGTGTCTGTGACCCGGTTCCTATCACCCTCAGCCAGGGCTCTCTGATCTCTATACTCACCATGGTAACTATGGGCGGCTAGCAGTGTCTGTGACCCGGTTCCTATCACCCTCAGCCAGGGTCACAGTGAGCAGTGACGAGGACTGGCTATGGCCTGCCACTCGAGGCCTAGCCGCAGTATGGAGCCGCGGACTGGAGCTGGGGTCGAGCTCCCGGTTCAGAGTGTTGCTCCCCAGGCCGGGGTGGGAAGCCAGTCCTCGGGCTCCAGCCTGTGCGAGTCCCGCCGAGGGAGTGCGGCCTCCAGCCCAGTCCGACCAGGGGAGGGAGGAGGGCGGAAAATGAACGCGTTGCTAGGGAACGTCTCCGAGGGGAGCGAGTCCTGCTCCGGTCCTAATACCCGGGGACGGAGAGAGCGCACTGAGCAGCCAGGAGAGGGGATTACAGCAAGAGGGACTAGCAGCTCCCTCCCATGGCATGCCCTCTGGATCTCTCCCTATACTGTGTCTGAATAAACAATATATAGCTCCATATACTGTCTGTATCAAATATATAGCTCCATATACTGTGTCTGAATAAAACAATATACAGCTCCATATACTGTCTGTATCAAATATATAGCTCCATATACTGTGTCTGAATAAAACAATATATAGCTCCATAAACTGTGTCTGAATAAACAATATATAGCTCCATATACTGTGTCTGAATAAAACAATATATAGCTCCATATACTGTGTCTGAATAAAACAATATATAGCTCCATATACTGTGTCTGAATAAAACAATATATAGCTCCATAAACTGTGTCTGAATAAAACAATATATAGCTCCATATACTGTGTCTGTATCAAACAATATATAGCTCCATATACTGTGTCTGAATAAAACAATATACAGCTCCATATACTGTGTCTGTATCAAATATATAGCTCCATATACTGTCTGTATCAAATATATAGCTCCATATACTGTCTATATCAAATATATAGCTCCATATACTGTCTGTATCAAACAATATATAGCTCCATATACTGTCTGTATAAAACAATATATAGCTCCATATACTGTGTCTGAATAAAACATATAGCTCCATATACAGTCTGTATCAAATATATAGCTCCATATACTGTCTGTATCAAACAATATATAGCTCCATATACTGTCTGTATGAAATATATAGCTCCATATACTGTGTCTGAATAAAACAATATATAGCTCCATATACTGTCTGTATCAAACATATAGCTCCATATACAGTCTGTATCAAATATATAGCTCCATATACTGTCTGTATCAAACAATATATAGCTCCATATACTGTCTGTATGAAATATATAGCTCCATATACTGTGTCTGAATAAAACAATATATAGCTCCATATACTGTCTGTATCAAATATATAGCTCCATATACTGTCTGTATCAAATATATAGCTCCATATACTGTCTGTATCAAACATATAGCTCCATATACAGTCTGTATCAAACATATAGCTCCATATACTGTCTGTATCAAACATATAGCTCCATATACTGTCTGTATCAAACAATATATAGCTCCATATACTGTCTGTATCAAACAATATATAGCTCCATATACTGTCTGTATCAAACAATATATAGCTCCATATACTGTCTGTATCAAACATATAGCTCCATATACTGTCTCTGTATCAAACATTTAGCTCCATATACTGTCTGTATCAAACATATAGCTCCATATACTGTCTGTATCAAACATATAGCTCCATATACTGTCTGTATCAAACATATAGCTCCATATACTGTCTCTGTATCAAACATTTAGCTCCATATACTGTGTCTGTATCAAACATATAGCTCCATATACTGTGTCTGAATAAAACAATATACAGCTCCATATACTGTCTGTATGAAATATATAATATATAGTTCCATATACTGTCTGTATCTCTGTATAAACCATATATCTCCATATACTGTCTCTGTATAAAACATATAGCTCCATATACAGTTTGTATCTCTCTATAAAATATATAGCTCCATATACAGTCTGCATCTGTGTATAAAACCTAAATCTAATTTATAGCTCCATATCCAGTCTGTGTCTCTATATAAAATATATAGTTCTACATACAGTCTGTATCTCTACATACAGCCTATATCTAGTGTATAGCTCTATATACAGTCTCTATCTAGTGTATAGCTCTATATACAGTCTCTATCTAGTGTATAGCTCTATATACAGTCTCTATCTAGTGTATAGCTCTATATACAGTCTCTATGTAGTGTATAGCTCTGTATACAGTCTATATCTCTATATAAAATGTATAACTCTTTACACAGTCTATAGATAAATAGATACAGATATTTTGGCAAAAAAGTATGTGAGCTGCAAAAATAGTGATACCGGAGAAACTGACGGAAGCAAAGCACAGAGGGATGGACACAGGTTTCTTCAGGAAGGAAGAGATTCTTTATTGGATCACCGATCGGGACTCAGAGGGACTAATGTCACCAAAAATACAGCAAGTTCTGAGCCCTGAACAATAGTGCAGGCTCCCTATATAGGCACATAACTCCTCCCATATTAAGCTCCACCCGCACATTCTCTTGACCAATCATTACAAATAAGAATTAACTTCCTGCTTGACCGCATGGCTTGTCCAGCACAATGGAGGAGGGGAATACTACATCCTGTATTCTTGCACATGCTCCGTACACTACTGATCGTATCTTGCCTCGTGCAACCAACTGATCGATACGTCAGCATATGCACGTACACATGCCACGTGGTAATCTCGGCCTACTAAATTTATTTTTACCGAGATTCCACCACATTCCCCCCTTTGATGCCTCTTGATATTTTACAATTACTTGAGGCATCACTTAACCTTGGTTTGCATACACCACAAGTTACCTTTGAACCAGACCAGACTTATCCTATGATGTGAATCTTCAACACTCGTCTTCCTGCATTGGTTCTCCCTGATCTAGAGCCTTATATTTATAAATTGCCATTATCTGTGCAGCAGCCTTCCTCTCTGCTATATTTTCTATCAGGCTTTGCACAGACCTAACTACTAAGGGTATAAGACACGGCAGGAGTAGACACAACATTAAAATCAGTAGGACTCCACCTACCACTGCCTTAAGCCCTCCAAACCACTCATACCAGCTACCAAACCAACTACTTGGATTGTACCCTTTCCATACCTGAGTAGGCACATGCGCTAGTTTAACCATATGGCTAGTAAGCTCAGCTATTGCTTGCCCTTCGTCATCTATTTGAAGACAGCAATTGCTCAGGTTAAACTTCCCACATACACCTCCCTCTACTGCCAAAAGATAATCCAAGGCTAATCTATTTTGGTAAACTGCTGTTCTCATCCTGGTATTATGCTTCGCTAGAAGATTGAGCGCTTGTGATGTCTCGTTAGTAATGATCTCAACCACCGCCTGTAACCTTATAATGCGGTTGAGCATATAAATAGGGGTTCTATAACCAAAGGTACCATCCTCTGCCCACGTGGCTGGCCCATAATAATCTATAATACGCTGGGGAGGCCATTCATTATCTTCCCAGGCACCTATCTCTATGGGTCCCCTTTTCTTCCTATGATTCACATCATACACTTTAACACCTAAAGTCTCACCTGTTTCAATAGGCAACAAGAAGAAGGATGGTTTTAACATACCCAACACACATGCCCCTTCCCAGTCCTGTGGTAACTCCGAATAGGCCTTCTTACCACAGATCCAGTACAAATTCGCTGGGGCTCTCCAGTTAGATGTGATGGATAGATCAAACCATACGTCCTTTAAATTGGCATATCTTGCAAACGGGTTAGATGGTTCTGAGACATTTGAAGCCGACCACCAAGTTGTATTCTTTGTATCATCATCATAAGCTTTTTGCCCTAGACAAGTTAATTCTCCTACAGAAGTATTATACATCATTCCTTTCCTCGCTATGCAAACATAACCTATGATGGAGGTCTTCAATCTCCACTCAGATTTACCTCTAACACTCATATGATAGTCGGCTTGTGTAGATATTAATTGGTCAACTGCCTCAGAACCGGACATTACCTCCTTTGCTTCCCAAGGCCATTGGTCTCCCATGTTAGTACCTCCACACACATAGCAGTTGGTAACATTAAGACTACCGGCAATACTCTCGGCTAAATCAATAAACAAGTTTTTAGCATTATGGGGGATCTTATTATCTATGCTCATCTCTTCATAAAAGGAATGGTATACTTGATGAGTTTGGGAGGTTACCGTATCAGTCTCTATCCCTATAAACAATATTGTCCCAGGGTCTAAACCCGTCCCATATATTTGAAACCCAAATAAATTACCATATTTATCTAAGAACTTGTCAGGGTTATTTATAAGTATATGGATTGGATTGCATTCCATAGACTTACAATATGGATTAGTAGGCAACTTAGTCACAATCATGTCCTTGTCTGCTGTCTGTCCCCAAGTCGCCCACCCCACACAAGACCAATATGGGCAGAAGTTATAATCTCTATTTGGGCATCTTGGACTTACATATTTATTTTTACTACTGGGACAAATATATTTATCGTTAGACCCATACGTCCTCTCCCATCTAAGATCCCCACATACATTCCACGGCTTTCTACCACTTGATATTGCTTTACACGCATCAAATAGCAGAGCACCTGAAGAATATACGGATTCTAATACCGTCTTATTAATTAGGGTCCCCTGAGGATCTCCATTTCTGAGAGTCAACCAAATTGTACGGGGTTGATACTCAGGACTGAAGCACTTAGGTTCTCCTACTCCTAAATGACACACACTATATTCTATATTTAAGTATCTACATCTTGATACATCTCCTTTACACTCATATTGCGAATGCCAAATTAGGGTCTGGGATATATGGTTACCTGTTCTTGTAGTCTTAATGCATACCTCACAGCTAGGAGTGTTGGTACCTCTACCTTCCTGAATATAAAAATACACATAAATAAACATTATTAAAAATACATCTTTCGTCGTCATCCTCAGTCTTCGTCCGTGCGAAGGCACCTCAGCTTCCAGGATGTAAGGGCTGCAGGGAATGGAGTTCTGCTCGTCTTCACAGGGGTCCCCTCAAGACTTTCCCTGACTTATACACTCGTTGGTGAGTGGACAGGCTTTATTATGGCCTTCTCACTCACTTACCAAGTCTCTGAAACAATAAAATTTGTAATCTACAAGGTTCCTCGTCACTCCGACTGAGTCGTGCGTTTTAACCGGATCTTGCAGGGATTCTCTGGATTTGCTGTAACTTGCCAGGAATCGGCTGCTGCTGGTTTAACCCTGGAGTGATGTATCCACGGAGCCACTTCGGCTACTTTTATCGCTGTAGGGGTAGACAGAAGAACAACATAAGGACCTCTCCACTTGGGCCCTAACGGCACATTATTCCACTCTTTAATCCACACTTGGTCGCCTGGGTGGTAACTATGAATTGGGGATAAATATTCACAGGTAATCTATCTTGTACCCATTTCTGTACCTCCTCCATAGTCTTACCCAACTCTACAACCTGCTGCCGGGTAATTCCTTCTCCCAACTGACTCAAATCCCCCCTTAAGTTACCAAGCACGGGAGGTGGTCGCCCGTACATGATTTCAAAAGGAGAGAGGCCCATCCTTCTGGTAGGTGTACTACGGATTCGCAATAGAGCTATGGGCAAGAGAACGTTCCACTTAAGTTGGGTTTCCTGACACATTTTAGCCAACTGATTCTTAATAGTTCTATTCATTCTCTCTACCTTACCAGAACTCTGGGGTCTATATGCCGTATGAAGCCTCCACTTTATACCAAGCATATGAGTCAGTTGTTGTAGGCACTGATGAACAAAAGCTGGACCATTGTCCGATCCTATAGAGCAGGGTAGTCCATATCGGGGTATTATTTCTCGTAGCAGGAATCTCACGACTTCTCCTGCTTTCTCTGTACGAGTAGGACATGCTTCTACCCAGCCTGAATAGGTGCACACCACTACCAGCAGGTAGCGATGTCCACCCGATTTAGGCATCACTGTATAGTCAATTTGTAAATCGGACATGGGAAGTCCCCCCATAAACTGGACTCCTGGTGGCTTTACTGGTCCTTGTCTTGCATTATTTTTAGCACACGTTACACATCTACGTACAATGGCCTGAGTCAAGTTGGACAATCTTGGTATGTAGAAATGTTTTCTGAGAGATTCTTCTGTACTGTCTCTCCCAGAATGTGTCCCGTTATGATAGTTTTGGACAATTTCTACCGCTAGTGATGCTGGAATAACTATTCTTCCATCTTCTAACTGATACCATTTGTTCTCCAAATACTTTCCAGGTTCAGTCCTTAACCACTCCTCTTCTTGAGCTGTATAAATTGGAGTCCATTGAGACAGTGGAGTTGGTATAAGAGCAGCTATATGCCCCACATATTCCTGTCTTCCTGATTCAGCAGCACGCTTAGCTGCACTATCTGCCATCCGATTCCCTTTGGTTACATCACCATCTCCTCTCAGATGCGCCCGACAATGTATAATACCGACTTCTTTCGGCTCCCACACTGCTTCCAATAGTTGTAGGATCTCAGCTGCGTATTTGATTTCTTTGCCTTCTGAATTCAATAGTCCTCTTTCTTTATACAAAGCTCCGTGGGCATGAGTGGTTAAAAACGCATACTTGGAGTCCGTGTAGATGTTCACTCTTAAACCTTCAGCCAATTGTAACGCTCGTGTCAGTGCTATCAATTCTGCCTTTTGTGCTGATGTTCCTTTTGCCAGTGGCCGAGCTTCTATCACCTTGTCTATCGTTGTTACTGCATATCCTGCATAGCGGATCCCTTCTTTTACATAACTACTGCCGTCGGTGTAATATTGAACATCAGGGTTCTGGATGGGAAAATCACGAAGATCTGGTCTACTTGAAAATACTTCATCCATTACTTCCAAACAATCATGTTGACTTTCAGTAGGTTGTGGCAAAAGGGTAGCTGGATTTAAGGTATTTACAGTCTCTAAATGCACTCTTGGGTTTTCACACAACATTGCTTGATACTTGGTCATACGGCTGTTACTAAACCAATGATTTCCTTTGTAATCCAACAACGTCTGTACTGCATGTGGAACTCGTACATAAAGTTCTTGACCCAGAGTGAGTTTATCGGCTTCAGCTACTAGCAGGGCGGCTGCAGCTACAGCTCTTAGACAAGGTGGAAGTCCGCTGGCCACTGCATCCAGTTGCTTAGACATGTAGGCAACAGGTCTTTGCCATGATCCCAAGTACTGTGTCAATACTCCCACAGCCATTCTTCTTTGCTCATGTACATACAGGTAGAATGGCCGTGTGTGGTCAGGTAGACCTAATGCTGGGGCACTCATCAAAGCCCTCTTCACATCTTCGAATGCCGTTTGCTGTTCTTGAGTCCATAAGAAGGGGTCGTGCTCTGTACCTTTGATAGCTGCATACAGTGGTTTTGCCAGTATCGCGTAGCTGGGAATCCATATCCTACAGAAGCCTGCTGCCCCCAAGAATTCTCGCACTTGTCTTCTATTCCTGGGTATCGGTATTTGGCACACAGCTTCTTTTCTCTCTGGCCCCATAATTCTTTGACCTTCAGAGATATGGAATCCCAGATATTTGACAGTTGGCAAACACAACTGAGCCTTCCTTCTTGACACCTTGTATCCTGCCTTCCAGAGAATGTGTAGTAGATCGTGCGTTGCTTGCTGACATACTTCCTTTGTAACTGCTGCTATCAACAAGTCATCTACATATTGTAATAATACACACTCTCCTGGGATAGACTCGAAATCTAGTAGATCTTGACTTAGAGCTGAACCAAATAGGGTAGGTGAATTTTTAAACCCCTGGGGCAATCTTGTCCAGGTCATTTGGCGTTTCGAGCCCGTTACAGCATTTTCCCATTGGAAAGCGAAGATACATTGGCTTTCTGCGGCAATTCGGAGGCAAAAGAAGGCATCTTTGAGATCTAAGACTGTAAAGTAAGTAGCCCCGCCCGGAATTAAAGCAAGCAGGTTATATGGATTGGGCACGACTGGATGTATACTAACAACCGCATCATTGACTGCTCTCAAGTCCTGCACAGGTCGATACTCATCTGTACCGGGCTTTTGAACAGGCAGCAATGGGGTGTTCCAGGGGGAAGTACAGAATTTTAGGATACCATACCGTATGAACTTATCCAGATAAGATTGGATGTTCTTCTTAGCCTTCTGCGGAATATGATATTGTCTCAGGCTTACTGGATAAACCCCAAGTTTTAGTTCGATTTTAATAGGTGGAATATTGCGGGCCAGTCCTGGTGGGTTGTTCTCTGCCCAAACTCCTGGTATATTAAATAAGGATTCATCACTCCTCGGGTTTTGGCTAGTCAACACTGTATAAAGTCGCCACTCTTCTTCCTTTGGTACGGACAATGTCATAATACCTGAGGGTCCATTAAACTTTAAGGATGTTGTTCCATTTGGTAGGAACGTAATCTGCGCTTGTAATTTGGATAGCATATCACGCCCCAGCAATTGGACTGGACACTCAGGCATATAAAGGAATTGATGTTTTACTACGTGGCCTCCCAATGTACAGAGTCGACTTTTAAGAACCGGTTTTTCAGCACTTCTTCCAGTTGCTCCTATTACAGTAATAATTCTTCCAGATGGAGGAGCAACTAGATTAGTCACCACCGAATGTTCAGCACCAGTGTCGATCATGAACGCACTCCTTTTTCCCCCTATTGATACATCGACCATAGGCTCCGCTCGACCAAGGGGGATGGAGCCCGGTCGGTATCAATAGTCCTCCATGACCGTGTCAGCCAATCCCACAAAGTCCCTACCTTCTCTATCGCGGGACCTTTGCGCTGCTGGATAGTACCTATCTTCCCTTACACTTCCTCTGTTCCCATTACTCCCTCTATTACCATTACTCCCTCCGGGGCCTCCTCTACCTCTCGCTCTGCCTCTAAAGTTTCCGTAACCTGCCCTGGGTAAGTCTCTCTCATACTGCTCTCTTTGCGGACACTCGTTCCTCCAATGCCCTTCTTCCTTACAGTACGCGCACTGATTCCTACTCAAAGGCTCCCTATTCCATCTACCATCGCCTCTATCTGGGCCCCGTCTATCTACGCCTGCGATCGCTACCGCTAGCATATCTGCCTTTCTACGCATCTTGCGCTCTTCCTCTTTCTTACTTTCTGTTTCCCTATTCATATATACTTTGTTCGCTACCTCCATTAGTTGGGTGATAGACATACCTGCAAACCCTTCTAATTTCTGTAGCTTGCGCTTAATATCTCCGTAAGCTTGGCTGACAAAGGCGGAGTTTACCATTCGGGAATTATCAGCGTCTTCCGGATTAAAGGGGGTATACAAGCGGTATGCCTCCAATAATCGGTCATAAAAGACACTGGGCGCTTCATCACTTTTCTGAATCACCTCAACTGTCTTCGACATGTTAATAGCTTTCTTCCCTCCGGCTTTCATACCAGCAATTATAGCATCTCTATAGGCTTTAAGTTGAGCCATATCTGCGCCATTTACATTCCAGTCAGGATCGGTGTTAGGGTAATGTGTTGCGGCCCATGCTGCCGGATTGGCTTGATTTAAAGCACGGGCTCTCTCCTCTAGCGCCTTAATGGCCGCTTGGTTAATCCTTGTCCTTTCCTCATTATTGAACAATGTCATTAATAACTGCTGGCAATCAGCCCATGTCGGGTTATGTGTCTGAACTATCGAGGTGAACAGATCGGTCATAGCTTGTGGTTTCTCAGTGTACGAGGAATTGTGGGTCTTCCAATTCAAGAGATCGGTAGTCGTGAACGGGACATATACGAAGACTGGGTCAGCATGTGCCATTTGACCTGCGGCATCGATATAGGCTGACCCAGGATTCAGACGAAGAGGCATCTGATAATGTTTTAATTGTTGGGTACCGGTCAGTTGTCGGGTTAGTATGGGGCTACGTGGAGGGGCGTCAGTTAAAGGTTCCGGTCGAGAGGTAATAGGGCATGAGGATGTGGGAACTTGATTTTGGGAAAAGTCAGTGAATAGTATACTCCGAGCCGAGCTAGAAGAAGCTTGACCGGAAGTTTGAAGTGGCGCCAAATCAGGATATTCAGATCTAATGGGGGTTGGTCCTGGTTCCGGAAGGGGAGTTTTAATACGAGGTGGGGTGGATTCTGTACTGGAGGAGGAAGCGGAAGTGGATGGGGGCAATAGGGGAAGGGGTGCAGAACTTCCTGCATTCGCGTCACTTCCTCTTAAAGGAAAGTAAGGGGGCGGCAAAGGGATCTCGGACTCAGGGGGCGTGTCCAAAATGGGCCTAACACCAGTCCTAGTGGACAAACAAGTCCTGGCCACCATGAGGCGACATTGCTCCTCGTGGCATATCCGGATCCATTTTGGCGAGTCGTTTACGGCCTGCCTCCAACAATCAATGTATGGAAACTGTCCGTAAAGTTCAGGCCTACCTGATACAGCCACGTGTACACGCTGTACCAGGGTTGGATCCAAACTGCCACGCGGCGGCCATGCCGCAACCAAAGTAGGCCACTCCCTAGTGCACAAAGTGACCAAACGTACAGGAGACATTTTAACCCCAAAATCACATGTTTTGAATCCCTTTTTAAAATTCTTTACCATACAACCTAAGGGATCCGAAATCGTTGACTCTGACGCGCCCATACTTATCAATGGAACGTCGTTGACAACGAATACTATGCACGCGTTCTTATTCAACAGTCACACCCGTTTCCTCTGGCAACAGCACCACGTGGTACAGTTACCGAGTGAAACGTACACAATAACACAATAATCACTCAGGGAATTCCCGTACACACACAGCTGTTACACCAGTCACTAAATAATCAATATTATGCCCTTTGGCGAAACTATACAGTCACCCACGCTATAATTCTCTATATATGAATTACCCGTCTATAACACACCCCAGTAACATCGTCTTTTACTAGTATCGGTTACAGTACGGTTAGCATAGGTCAAAGCACAATTTAAGGTCACAATACAATTATTAGTGGTTACGGTGTTAAACATGCAATAGACGACAATGATTAGTACTTATATACAGTGTCAGTAAATATACAGGGTTATGGTACCGTGCACTATGATACAACAACACACTATTAACACTCTCGCTAGACGGCTGAGCTCGCGCTATCTAACAAGATATACACTTTACTAACAATCTTTAACACATTTACAATCCCAACTAAACTATTGGCCAGTACCTTGAATGGACTACCTAAAACTATATACACCCGTTTTGGTTAGCCACACTGCCCAAGCACCACATATAGCGAACTAGAGGGCGGAATTTACAAAATTGCCCTTCTAGTCTATTTACTCTATCAAAAGTCTAGTGGGTTCCAAATTTACACGCCTTCCCACTTAGCCAAGATAGGTTGAGAGCTAGCGAACCGAATTTACACAGGCGCCGCTTAGTCTCCCGGTCCCTCCGACCTAGCGAACGTAATATACACCCTAGAACGCTAGTCTAGACAAGACACCGGTGTCCGGCTAGGGCTATTTACACAGGACCCCGCCTGACTAACCAGATCAAACGGTCTTACTAAAGAGCGTTCGATCGAGCGGTGCGCCTTCGCTCCTTCCCTCCGACAGAGGGGGCAGATTCCATACACAGATTTAAACCCCTTTTGGGCCTACCGCACAATCGGTATACCCCTAGTGGGTCTGCCGTCTAAAACAGCAGTTGTCTTACCTCCTCGTTCCTGAACCTGAGTTCACACTCATCGACGGGGACACCCCAGCACTTCTTACGTAGAGGCCGATGATCTCCTGGACAACAGACCAGTGGCGCCGAGACGAAGGGAGGTCCACGCAGAAGTTCAGGGGTGCAGCCGTAGAGAACGTGGGCAAAGATAGACCGTCTCACGCCTCTGCCTCTCAGCTACCGTTGAACGATGAGCTTCCCGGCCAATGCACCAAATGATACCGGAGAAACTGACGGAAGCAAAGCACAGAGGGATGGACACAGGTTTCTTCAGGAAGGAAGAGATTCTTTATTGGATCACCGATCGGGACTCAGAGGGACTAATGTCACCAAAAATACAGCAAGTTCTGAGCCCTGAACAATAGTGCAGGCTCCCTATATAGGCACATAACTCCTCCCATATTAAGCTCCACCCGCACATTCTCTTGACCAATCATTACAAATAAGAATTAACTTCCTGCTTGACCGCATGGCTTGTCCAGCACAATGGAGGAGGGGAATACTACATCCTGTATTCTTGCACATGCTCCGTACACTACTGATCGTATCTTGCCTCGTGCAACCAACTGATCGATACGTCAGCATATGCACGTACACATGCCACGTGGTAATCTCGGCCCACTAAATTTATTTTTACCGAGATTCCACCACAATAGCACACTTTTCCACAGAAACGTTAACTTATATCTGACATTCAGTTTCTGGTTTCATATATAAACCCCTTATAAGAGCTATAGGAAGTCCAGAATTCTGCTAATGTGTGAAGTGACATTAGTCCTTTCTATGGAGTGTGAGACATTGATGACATAATGGCTAAGCAGGTCTTAACACTTGTTTGCCACCACAAGCTTGGATGGTCCATGGCACTCTCACCCTGGGTGGAATCCTATTTGCCAGGGATACAGTTTCACTCGCCAATGGCTACGGGAAAGTGGAAATTTTCAATCCTGCTGTATGTGTTGCTAGAGAATATGAAAAGCCTAGTGCAGCCAGCTTTTGTTTATAACTAAAAGTTTAGGTTTTGGAAATTCTAACATGTGTATCAGGATACCACATCATTTCAAAATATGTATCAGGATACCACTCATTACTAATTATGTAGGAATATAAAAATAATACACATTACAAAATCACCAAGTGACTGTCACTTCACCGGTGGACTTAGGGTGGGAGAAAGTTAAACAAAAAAGATCTCAGGTCAGCGGTAGCAAAAGAAAATACCAGTTATATTTCTTGTTCACTGGAATTGCTCAACCAAAATAAAAATAAAGAACAGCAACAAAGTAAAAGATGCATTATGTCGAACTGCACTTGCAGAAAAACAGTTGCAAATGATTTCCTGTTTGATCAGATGCTGACGCAGAAAGAGGAACAAAGGGGTTGCGGGCAATATTGGTTTCCAGTATCTATTCTCAGGTTCTACATTACTGACAGACGACATAATGGAAGCAAGTCCCACTGACTTTTTCGACATTAGAAATACCTAAATAAATAAAAACTATCTTTAGGCACTGTTCCTTTAAAAGAAGAATGGAATTTGCTGACAATCTTTGCGCTGTGGGTGCCCCATCATTAAGTAGTTCCAACATCTCTCAGTTGTTTGGTCAGGGCACCCCTTTGCCTTTGATTTGATTCTTACATGGGTACAAGCCCGCTTCCTTGGGCTGCAGGTTTCGTGACAACTGTCTGTTATTTCTTGTTTGTTAAAGGTAATCTGTTACCTATAAACTGGTGACAACTCTGTTTTCAGCCACACAGTTTCTTTAAATTTACATCATATATGAAGTAATCAAGGTATGCCAAGGTATAGCATACAATTTGAATAATTGTAATCCATATACCACTCAACATTTATAATGGAATAATAGTGACACTTTAATTTTAGGGGCGTGACCAGGGGCGGAGCTATTCTGAGAAAGTTTAGGTAAATTACTAACAACTGTTTATGCGATTGAAATACCATATAGAACAGGAATAACCGATCTTATTCACACAGGCTGATTTCTAAACACATTTATTGCAGTTTAAAGACATGTTTCTGTAAGTATTAGAGCTGTGGAGCTCTGTTTAGACACACCAACAATATGGGGCTCCTAGAAAAAGAGGAACAAAGGCATTTGGACCCGAAATATGGAATGTCCTTCCTAAATAGAGTCACGTGGAGGGTATGAATCCATTGGTTGAGTAAAAACAAACGTATCACAAACTCAATGGTTAAAATTCCTCTTGAAGTGTTAACGTAAGGTAACAATAAATGATTACAAGAAAATGCAGAAGTAGATGTGACTACAGACTCTTAAATAATTCCTGCTTCCAAGCTACTTGTAACAGATACCACATCAGTCCCCCCTGCTACATTCACAGTTCCAGGCAGTAAAGAAATAGAATACACCTGCCATTGTACTGTAAGATTGTGCACAGTCATTTGTGCTGATTGAAGCCAAAGGCAATGAGACCCAGTATTAGTACACCACCACAAAAAATATATACCCCAAAGGGATATATAAAAAGGGGGGTATCAAATACACATAGAGGATGTTAAGGGAACATACAACCTGAAAATCAGGATAGATATGAATACAATATGGAATCTAAAAATAAAGAGACTGAATATGGTGAAGTATGTTATGCTGTCCCCGGAGAATCCAGGACGTAGAGAACTTACGAGATCACTGGATAAAATGGGCCTGTCTCCCCTCAAGGGGTGTATCAGGATGGCTAGTGTCTTCTGAAACTGCTCCTCAAACAATATAAAAAGAGGAACAAATAGTAAAAATACAAATATAATTCAAGGTTGCACTTACACACATAGAGAAATCATGCGTATTTGATACCCCCCCTTTTTATATATCTCGTTGGGGTATATATTTTTTTTTGTGTTAGTTAACTTTTAGAGTGTTTGTGAGGTACACTTTCCAAGGGCGGTTTACACTAACTCCACGTGTGTTATATAGTAACTATATTGTCACATAGTCCAGTATTAGCACAGTTTATAAGAAACCCTTGGAGAAAGCTAAATATGGGTTAATTTACTAAACTGTGAAGACAGTACAATACATTTTGGGCAAGATTATAAAACTGGATTAATCTCCAAATCAGTTCTATTTCAGCTTTAACATTTACAATTCCCTTTATAATTATAATATAAATTGGAAATGAATACATCATGTATTGTCCTATTTAGGCATTTATAAATCAGCTGGCCAGGAGCTGGTCACATGACTCCAATGAACCTGACATAATGCGTACCAAGCCTCTATTTAAAATGAATCTCAAAAAAGTAAGCGTTTCAAGCCTCGCTTTAAAGTTACGTCGTGACGTCAGTTCCGTTTGTCTGGAAAGATGGCGGCGTCCTTGACTGCAACCTCTATCACCAGGGAGACAGGGACACTTCCGGGGGTGGGCGGGGCTTCACAGCTCCAGGGTGACATGTAGTCCATGTGAGTAGCAATATGGCTGCGCCCGTGAACTTCCTGAATGAGGATGAGGTGAAGGAATACCTGGATAATATCGGCACGGAGTACAGCTATCAGTGCCACCGGGAGAAGCAGCCAGAAGGTGAGGGATCCGGGCAGGCTATACTGAGACCGGATATACCACAGACCCCACTTACAAAAATGTTTCTTAAAGGGACAGTCTGACCGAGAGCCACATGTTTAGGTTTAAAGCAATAATGGCCAGTTCCTGCCATTCCTTATATTGGGGACCAATGCAAATATTTATAAAAAAAAAAAAAAACAGGGTTATTGAGAAAAGTGTTATTTTTTTTTTTTTTTTAATTTTATTTTTAGAATTGAAAATCAATTTCTAATTATGGGCCACACCAACCCAATTGCAAAACCCACCGTAATATTGATTAGATTAAAGGACCACTCTAGGCACCCAGACCACTTCAGCTTAAAGAAGTGGTCTAAGTGCCAGGTCCAGCTAGGCTTAACCCTTTTTTTTTTTTTTAGAAACATATGCAACTGCTATGTTTTATAAATCACAGTGAGACGACGCCAGCATCCATAGGAAAGCGTTATAAATGCTTTCCTAGGAGACTGGCTGAATGCGCGCGCAGCTCCTACCGCGCATGCGCATTCAGCCGAAGTGGAGGAGAGGAGGAGGAGAGCTCCCTGCCCGGCGCTGGGAAAAAAGGTGAGGGTGGGGGGCACCCTCAGGGCACTATAGTGCCAGGAAAACGAGTATGTTTTCCTGGCACTATAGTGGTCCTTTAAAGGGATCCTATAGTTCCAGGAAAACAAAGCAGTTTTCCTGGCACTATATCCCCACAGGGATGAAGGGGTTAAAACCCTTTCAGCCACTTACCTGAATCCAGCACCGATGTCCCTCAGCGCTTGGTCAGGCTCTGCCCACGCTGCTCGCCTGCGGGGGAGACCTAATGCGAATGTGCGGCAATGGCCGCGCGCACATCAGACCTCCCCATAGGAAAGCATTATTCAGTGCTTTCCTATTGGGAAGATCTGACGCTGGAGGTCCGTGAGGACGTCCAGCGTCAGATAAGGGACCAAAAGTCCGTTTGGATTCCGTAAGCGCCCCCAGTGCCAGAGAGGGCAGGCTTAGAGCTGCAATGTAAGGACTTGGTGCAAAAGGGTCAATTAGCTGAAGTGGTCTGGGTGCTTACAGTGTCCCTTTAAAGGGACATGCTTGACTTAGAGATACTGTGGGGGGAAAAATGGGAGCATGCTAACTTCGCTAGGCAGAAATTAGCAGCACATGCACACTAGTCACACAATGTTACACTATGGGGAAGCATAGGAGTGGTTGAAATCATCAGGATTGATTACCTTAGCAAGCAAAGGCAGGGCTGCTACATGGAGACCAGGTTAGTAATTCCTTTATTTTATTCGCTCTGGGAGGGCCCAATAATTTAAATAATTAGTAAAACACCCTATTGTTGGGAATACCTTTTTCTTGTCCTAATGATATGGTGATCCTTTAACGCTTGAAGGGTTGCTGTAGAAGAATTAAAACATTATCATATTTATGGTTCATAATGTTTCCACTCTTAAAGATCACACACAGTACACAATTTGGCATTGTGTTGAAATATGCATATTTGACAGTGAGAATTAATTTTCCATATTTTAATTTTCTTCTTCCAGGTTGCCATAGACTTGCAGAGTATTATGAGAGCATCCGAAAAAACTTTGAAGCTGCAGCAAAGATACTGAAGTTGAACTGCGAACAAAATGAGCTTAGCGAGAGTTGCTACAAACTTGGGGGATATTATGTAACTGGGAGAGGTATGCATGTCGAAAACTGTGGGTAAGACTGGTATCTTTGTGCTATTCAGCCGTTTAATGGAGCTGCAATATAAATATATTTTTTCCTATATAGATTAGTTGGGGAAAATAAAAAAGTAATCAAGCATGGGGGAAGGAGGATAGAGGGCATTGAATTGCTTACTACGACCCCATTGGGCCAAAGGTAGTATAACCCTCTGTGAGCCGTTCTGAATTGGTGACATATGCATCATTGTAGGAAATAGCTCTAGTCTCATTTAATCATTCTGCTTTTTCAGGTGGGCTGCCAGTGGACCTTAAGGCTGCATACAACTGCTTTTTAAAATCTTGCAACAAGGGTGGAAAGAAATCCATCGACTCTTGCCATAATGTTGGATTGCTGTTACATGATGGACGTGTAAATGATGAAAAGCCTGACCCTGTATTAGCTAGAGATTACTATGAGAAGGCCTGTGAAGGCAGTTTTGCAGCAAGCTGTTTCAACCTGAGTGCCATATACCTGCAAGGAGATACTGGCATAGCACAGGACATGAGCAGGGCTCTACATTACTCTGAGAAGGCATGCGACCTGGGGCACACATGGGCCTGTGCCAACGCTAGCCGCATGTACAAACTGGGGGATGGGGTAAGCCAAAACGACTCTAAAGCAGAAACCTTTAAAAACCGAGCTATGGAATTACACAAGAAACAGAAGGAGAGTTCACAAATTACTTTTGGAGAATGAAAGCTTCACACACTCATCTGATCATTTGACAACCTTGTTTCATTAACTAAAATCATAACGATCTATTGAAATAATGCAGTGTAATTTGTTTTACAGTTAAAAGGACGAGAATATCAATATTGATTTACCTGATGTAATTCTATCTATGTTAAAAGACAGGGGACATTTTCACAATCCTCGGCTAGGCTGCATCAGTAATTTCTTGCCACTGCATCTGAATTGTTTTCCCGTCAAGCACAGTCAACTAAGATCATTTCTACTTAATGGGTTTATTTTTTTTTTAAACTGTAATTGACTAATCACGTAGAATCGACTTGGTTGTCTGAGCAAAAAAAAAAAAGCTGCCATCTGGGATCACAAAGTTCATTAATAAAATATAATTTTGGATCAGTCATGAGTCTGAATGATTCCTCTTCTTTGTTAGCTTGGATGCTGAACTGCTAAAGCCAGTTCGGCTTCTTTCATTCTCTAATACAGGGCCTGATAAATTTGTTTGGAATCAAGGGGCCAGTTTAAAAAAAAACTAATTTTAAGTTTTAATTTTCAGTGATAAAAATGCAATTCTTAAAGGACACTAAAGACACCAGAACCACTACATTGCTGTTTACATTGCTGCCTAGTAACACCTTTAGTGCCAATCACAGACTGCTACTAGAGAGTCCTTCATCAGAAATTGAATGACAAAAATTAGGTTAAAGTTGCTGTGGAAAAGTGTGCAATTTTTTTCAGCTCAGATACTTTTGCCAAAATATCTGTGTGTATCTATCTGTCTATCGACAGTGTAAAGAGTTATAAATGTTATATTGAGATATAGACTGTATACAGAGCTATAAACCAGATCGAGACTATATATAATTTATTTGTGGTCGGTTAATTAGTGACTGTGAAATACCATATGATTGGTTAAAGTCGGTAAGGTGTGCCGGAACCGACGTAGCGTGTAGGCCTGTAAAAAAGTGCCCCACCCCGATGGTATTGTGTGAATATGAGAGGGTGGGGTGAACAGCCTACGTCACGGCAAAGGTGAGGAGAGTAGCGTTTTATAGGAACGCTAACTCCTCCCACAAATACAGGCCTACGGCCTTAAACTTGTGGTCGGTTAATTAGTGACTGTGAAATACCATATGATTGGTTAAAGTCGGTGAGGTGTGCCGGAACCGACGTAGGGTGTAGGCCTTAAAAAAAGATTGCAGATAAACACACTTTATTCTTAACATAATTATGATGCAAGGTTCTTAAATGCTTGTCTTAACTCTTTCTCTGGGTGTGGTATACAGATTTTATATTTTTCAGCTCAGATACTTTTGCCAAAATCTATCTATCGACAGTGTAAAGAGTTATAAATGTTATTTTGAGATATAGACTGTATACAGAGCTATAAACCAGATTGATTTTATTTATTCTCATTCTCTCTCTCTCTCTCTCTCTCTCTCTCTCTCTCTCTCTCTCTCTCTCTCTCTCTCTCTCTCTCTCTCTCGTAAGCTAACTGAAGTGAGCTATTTTCAAATTGATTTCAATGCTGCAGTAAGATTAATTTAAAAAATGGTGCAACCATATGTAGTTGAATTTCTCAATACAAGTTTAAAAAAAAAAATGGTAAGGTGAGATGGTTTGGGGTGTCATAGGGTTAAAGTGACTTGAGCTCAAGGGTGCTTAGTTAAAGGTGCAATTCCACCGGTCTGTTTCATGGCAATTGGATCAACTGAATGAATGGAATTCCGCTGTTTCAACATAGAACAACTTGAGCTCTGAAATTAAGGCTGGACGCAAAAGAGGAGGAACCTTAACACCTTGCCCCGCAAGAAGGAAATTTCTGTCATTTACTAAAATTAACCTCAGATCACGGCAATCGTGGGGTTAATGCTGATGCAGACCGCCTCAGTGTCTGAGGCAGACGGGCAGCAGCCAACCACTCATGTGCTGCAGGGACTGCTGACCGGCCTCCCTGCACTTCCATGTTCAGTGTGAAGTGCAGGAAGATGGATGGGTTCAGATCTTTACCCTGCTTTAATAAAATTGAACCCCATCTCTGCCAATTGATTACTCTCTGCAGTGATCAAACTTTAGATTGCAGTATTTTACTGTGATCTGATTTGCTTGGGGATTTTTTTTTTTTACTCCTTTTTTTCCTTTTAAAATATATATAGCACTCCCAGGATTTGGGGAAAATAAACTTCTTTTACTCCAAAGTGACCTTTGGAGTAAAGAGAAGTTTCTTTTCACAAAATCCTGGGAGTGCTGATTTTTTTTTTTTGTGTTCTATTTATTCAGTGCAATCCAGCACCAGGTCAAATGCAATGTGAGTAGGAGTGCAAGGTTTTTTTTCTTTTATTTATATATATATATATATATATATATATATATATATATATATATATATATATATATATATATATATATATATATATATACACACACACTGCTCAAAAAAATAAAGGGAACACAAAAATAACACATCCTAGATCTGAATGAATTAAATATTCTTCTGAAATACTTTGTTCTTTACATAGTTGAATGAGCTGACAACAAAATCACAGAAAAATTAAAAAAAATGGAAATCAAATTTTTTAACCCATGGAGGTCTGGATTTGGAGTCACACTCAAAATTAAAGTGGAAAAACACACTACAGGCTGATCCAACTTTGATGTAATGTCCTTAAAACAAGTCAAAATGAGGCTCAGTAGTGTGTGTGGCCTCCACGTGCCTGTATGACCTCCCTACAACAGCTGTGCATGCTCCTGATGAGGTGGCGGATGGTCTCCTGAGGGATCTCCTCCCAGACGTGGACTAAAGCATCTGCCAACTCCTGGACAGTCTGTGGTGTAACGTGACGGTGGATGGAACGAGACATGATGTCCCAGATGTGCTCAATTGTATTCAGGTCTGGGGAACGGGCGTGCCAGTCCATAGCATCAATGCCTTCGTCTTGCAGGAACTGCTGACACACTCCAGCCACATGAGGTCTAGCATTGTCTTGCATTAGGAGGAACCCAGGGCCAACCGCACCAGCACAAGGTCTCACAAGGGGTCTGAGGATCTCATCTCGGTACCTAATGGCAGTCAGGCTACCTCTGGCGAGCACATGGAGGGCTGTGCGGCCCCTTAAAGAAATGCTACCCCACACCATTACTGACCCACTGCCAAACCGGTCATGCTGGAGGATGTTGCAGGCAGCAGAACGTTCTCCACAGCGTCTCCAGACTCTGTCACGTCTGTCACATGTACTCAGTGTGAACCTGCTTTCATCTGTGAAGAGCACAGGGCACCAGTGACGAATTTGCCAATCTTGGTGTTCTCTGACAAATGCCAAACGTCCTGCACGGTGTTGGGCTGTAAGCACAACCCCAACCTGTGGACCTAGGGCCCTCATACCACCCTCATGGAGTCTGTTTCTGACCATTTGAACAGACACATGCACATTTTGAGCAGACACACTCTGGCAGTGCTCCTGCTGTTCCTCCTTGCACAAAGGCGGAGGTAGTGGTCCTGCTGCTGGGTTGTTGCCCTCCTACGGCCTCCTCCACGTCTCCTGATGTACTGGCCTGTCTCCTGGTAGCGCCTCCATGCCCTGGACACTACGCTGACAGACATAGCAAACCTTCTTGCCACAGCTCGCATTGATGTGCCATCCTGGATGAGCTGCACTACCTGAGCCACTTGTGTGGGTTGTAGACTCCGTCTCATGCTACCACTAGAGTGAAAGCACCGCCAGCATTCAAAAGTGACCAAAACATCAGCCAGGAAGCATAGGAACTGAGAAGTGGTCTGTGGTCACCACCTGCAGAACCACTCCTTTATTGGGGGTGTCATGCTAATTGCCTATAATTTCCACCTGTTTTCTATCCCATTTGCACAACAGCATGTGAAATTGTCAATCAGTGTTCTGCTTCCTAAGTGGACAGTTTGATTTCACAGAAGTGTGATTGACTTGGAGTTACATTGTGTTGTTTAAGTGTTCCCTTTATTTTTTGAGCAGTGTATATATATATATATATTTATTTTATTTTTTTTTAAACCTCAGGGGTTTCATTTATTTAATTAGTTACTAAAACATTAATAAATTATTTAGCTAGAGTGAGAAGAAGTTAGGGGTTAACAGTTAAAAAAAGCTTTTAAAAGTTTTTGTTATGGTATCTGTGTGTCTGCCTGTCTGTGAGAATGTGTGAGTCAGTGAGTGTCTATGTTTAGGTGACCAGCCCTCCTCAGATCACATGGCAATGGTGATTTTACTCAGCTTTGACTCAGAGCTGTAGAGATAGGCAGTTTGTCTGGTAGCAATATCCCTTTAAAATGTCCGCCGGCTTAAAAGTACCTCCCCTAGTCTGGGCGGCAAATCAAGGATTTGCACGAATGCAGGTGTTCGTTAGCGTTCAGTAGAAATGAGTGAACGTCTTTCCGCAAACGCACGGCAAGATTTTAGTGCCATAAGTGAGGCGAAAGGGTGAACAGAAGACGGGAAAGTTCCGCGAACACGCGGTATAAAGAAGAAGCCCGCGGGAATTGTAATGGCGCTTAGAATAAATGGCGGTGGAGTCCCGAAATCCTTTTGGGGACAGGGAAATACCCCAGAAGCCGGGGGGTCGGGGGGGGAGGAGGAGGGAAAGGATGTCCCTGAGGGGAGGTTGAACAGACCCCAAAGGAGAGGGGTAGCCCCCACCACGGTAGAGGTAATCAATAGAAAACAATACAAAATGTATGACAATATCACAGTTAGAAAAACAATGATAGTATGAATATGTATAAATCACAGTTCAGCAAATATGACAGAGAAAAATTGTGTACTTAGCTCTTGTGATGGAGCAGCAAAGAAAGAGGAAATGATGTCATATGTCACGCCTCTTATACCCTATACTACATTGTGATTGGTTCTAAGTTTTGTCACTCTTTTCTTTGCGGCTATGGAGTTAGTAAGAAAAGATTATGCAAAATACGAAGCCTCCTGTCAGAAAATTAAACATTAAGGAAGGGAGACAGGAGAAGGGACAGGATAAATAATAGAGTGTCCTGCAGAGTGGTAGTTGCCTCGTTATAGAGGGGTGACCTTAAGATAGGTTGGGCTCGGGGAGATCACAAAAGAGGAAAGATAATTAAAACTTCACTTTTAATGTAAATAGTTAAAAGGGGGGTATACAAACAAATTTTAGTTCGAATAACTGTTGTTATGTAAGAAATCCTCAAGTGATACAGTTACACTTCATTCAAATGACTGTTGTAAGAAATGCTCAAGTTACACTGCCTGTTAACAGAATTAAATGCCACTGTGGGAACAACAGCTACAAATTAGTATTGTCAATAATGTATCGATATACCAGTATACGGGCTCAAGGAAAAATAGCCAAGTCCCAGTGAGCTGCACTGAAGCTGTTAACAAAGCTGATAACAATATTTAAC